GGGGAAACGTCAGCCATCGTTCAATAACATCAAAAACAACGACAACGACAACGACAACGAAGATCTGTACCAACCTCGCGTCAGCTTAAGAAGATCAGTTTATAAGATCACATAAATAAATATATCAACTATCTATGCCGAGGTTTATAGAAAGTCGGTCTTTCGAGTTTTTAAGGATAAAGCTCTTGGCGCTGATCAATCGCTGAAAGATGCGCCGTACAATTGACTTTATCAGACATCGTTAGAGGCGACTGAATGCATATCTGGTCAATACAACAACTAGCGGTGGCCTATCGATGTATCGAGTCAGTGCGGCTATTTCGACCACGGTGAGCCTGGAGCGCGGGATCGAACCTATGTGTTACAGAGCACTCCTAACCACTCCACGTCCTTCCAAGATGCAACATAATTGAAATAAACAGAATGAATATAGTAACGAACCTTCTGCAGTGATCTCTGACGAGCACTCAGAAAATGCACGTATGTAACTTGCTCGCCGGGAATTGTTCCATCTATAACACTTGAATCAATGTCAAATACTAACCGGTACTCATGCCATAATGTAGGCTTAAAAAGTTGAGGTAACGTTATGTAAGGATGACGACGGAATGACTGAAAGAGGGGATGTTAACAAGATGTGTTTTATTATTCTTTTATTTTATACAACCCGTCCTGACGCCCATCCAGTACTTATTGGATTCTATTCTTTCCTAGCATCCGCTATCGACGAAGTTCTTCGACCTCTTCCCATGTGTTCGGCTGATGCTGGTGGACAGTCGCCTTCTTTTTTACGAATGTCGTTCAGTGCTGGTCGAGTCAACTTTCCATGGAGTCCCCTGATATTTATAGAGCGTTACCGCTTGAACTGGAGAGAATGAACTGTTCCTAGTCAAGTCTAGTGCCAATTTCCCGACCTCAGAAGAATGAGGAGGCTAGGTGAACACGCAATGGGTTCAAATCAGCACCGTGCTGGTAATGATGGGCATCATTACTGGGGCGCTAGCCGCTCCCTTAAAAAAGTATGAAAATAGATAGACTGCGACTTTATTCAATTGCTCAAGTAATTGGTATATAATCAAAAAGGCGTTGTTGTAATGGTATCAAATATTCGTAACATTAAAGAAGGAAATGATAAACAGTTACACAAGAAACCTTCATTACAAGCAGGTTTACGGTGCCGCCTTGGAGCATTTCCTTGAATGGCCACCCTATGTACGTCTCCATCGGACTCCGCTCCTTTCATGAATCCCGCTGTACATCGCGGTGATATCAAGATTGACTCTGCATCCGACACTAGAACAATACACGCAAAGCGATTAAACCAACTTTCACTTACCCTCAGCGTGAATAGTCAGTAAATTTCTTTGGATTGTCAGCTTACACCAGGTTGTTATACAACTTTTATTCGGCTAACATTTCGACGTATTCGTCTTCCACACTGCCAATGATCCAAGTCGACGGCCTAATGTTGTTCGTCTTCTCCATGTGGCGTCATTGTCGTTTTATCGAGTCGGAAACAGTAGCCGAATAAAAGTTGTATAACAACCTCCTGTAAGCTGAACAATCTAAAGAAATTTACTATTTTCCAAGTGTTCTAAAATTCGTTCATCCTACAAAGTTTTATTTAACTCAAGCGACTACCTATGTTAAGCGTTTTGTTGAGCGGTGGCAATGTTGGCGAAGTGCGCAGATGGCCACCGCTTGAAAATCTTCGTCGAACTGGAGTCGGAAAGTTTCCATCGACCACCGATGGCAAGTCACCATCTCTAAAAAAATCACAGATCTATTGTTAGGTACTTCTTTCTATGAACGATAAAGTACTCTTGTTCAGTCAAACATAAAAATGCTCAAAAAGAGAATTAGAGACAATGGAAGTGTCACAGAAATGAAAGTTTTGCTCAGTAGTTCCTTAAAAGGAATAGTTTTATCCTGTTAGTTCTAACTCCAGTTTTGCTTCAAGTGCTATGTTCGGATACTAAGTAACAAAAACCTCTTCTAAGAATATTTTGTGATCCCCAGTTAATGCCCGAACTGATCTAATGTATCGTAAAGAAATAAAAGATGAGAATGATATTTAAGGTTACAAACGCCTCTGAACTGCACGGGTAAAATCCCACATTAATTTATCGACAGTCAACTTGCTGGACCAGTAGGAAGAGGATTTGGTCTATGCAATAAATCGCGACGTTCTATAACAGAAAAGAATACGAAGTGCTTTCCACTTCTTAATCGATAACAATTCGATAGACTGCAGAAAAAGGAAGGAGTAGGACCACCGACATCAACGAGTAGCGGAATTGTGACCAAATGACCAATAAATGGCATTGAAATAGATAACAGTTGCAACACACAGACATAACAAAAAACAGCGCGTGTGTATCGCATTGGTTAGTGGGTGGTCTGCAACACTTACAGGATCGTTAGCCCCATTCGACGAGTCAGCTCACTAACCCTCCCAACCCTTCCGAGATCCACAAATTGGTACCAGACTTTGCCTGGGTGAATGGCAGCACTGACTTGATACTTTGAGGCAATAATATCTATATGTGATTGTGTAAAACAGATATGCGCTCGATCACCTCTACGAGGCGATGAAGAAGCGATCAAAGCAGAACTTTTATCTTTTAATTATAAACGACTAGATCTAAACGAGAAGCGGCAACATTACTCTACGTACATAATCCGTTTGATCATCGCATCCACCTCCTCTGTGTTGTCCCTGTCCGCTGGCTCCTTCTTTTCGAAATTTTTGAACTCTCCGACTTCGCTCTGTCTGGAGTCCTCGCGATGTCGCTCTTCTTCCAGAGGTGACTCTAGGATAAAAATCGTTCGATTCTGAAACATCTCATTACTTTCCACGGGCTATTCTTAGTGGGATTTCGTAGATTACAAGATCGGATAGTCTCAATACAAAAAATAACTGTCTAAGAATTTGACACACTTCTGCCCAATTCTATACGATCTCAAAAGATCCTGAAAAATTGGGATTGTTGAAAAAAAAAACCATGATAGAGGGTAGTGCTTAAATTTTCGCTAGTCGACAAGTCACTCTACACTTTTCTCAGTCTTTGCATAAAACTGAAAACTTTTACAATATTTTTAACCTAGGCAACAATGTTTTTCTCTTTTCTTTCCCACACCTTCTGTTTGTCTTCTCCTCTGCTGCTTTCCAAGTTTTTCTTTATTTCCAAACTACATCAGTAACGACTGTGAGCCATATATAGAACACAGTGTCGACAACATATTAAGAATAAAATATCTCGTTTAGAAATTAGTGTTGTAAGGAAACTAAAGATTGGTACAAAACTTAATGACGACTAGTTGTTCTGGCAAACACCAACTCAACATCAGTAGAAGATCAGCATGTAAGGAAAAGAAAAATAATAATTAACAGCAAACAGCGAATGGAAGACATCACTAGAGAGGCTAAAAGAAATCTAATAGTGCTTACTAATTTCGGTGGCTACTGCGATGAGGTAAAACACCAAGTGTAGTTCAGATCGATCATGCCGATTGTCACGCAACACCACACGAAAAAGCTCTTTTGTCTGTACATAAACGAAAATTATCTGCATTGGACAAACTGAAAAAGAAAAAAAAACGAAAAATACTCGGTATAATTTTTAGGAACAGGCGAAAAAAATATGGATTATTGCATAAGGCAACCAACTAAACACTACCTTGACACCCATCTAGTATCGTTGAACAACAAAGAAAGAAAAAAAACTCCAGAAATGTGGAGGATCTGGTTATCTCCCAAGAAAGTTACCCGAGAAGAACCAGCGCCCAATTTACTTATATATGTGATTATTTGATCTATAATTGCTTCACAGCAAGTGAGGAAACCATGGTCGCGATTTCTACATGGAAAAGCAAAAACCAAAAGAACACAAAACACGCGACCTTTATGGACACCTCTTGCTAAAAGAAGGAAGAAACGAATGTAAATCACGGCATCATGGGATCTGTACGCTTTGAAAAGACTGGTCGTGATATCAACTATGCAGGTAACCAGTTCTAAACTCAAAAATCAACCTAGTATAAAACATTCAACAGGTACTTAACTAAAAATACTTTACTACCGTAAATTCTGAAAACTTTAGCAAAGCAACTTCTTTCATATGGTACAGTCTGCTTTAAACTTCTCCACTTGCACAGGATATAAAACACAAGGCAACTAAAACACATACGCCATCATTTGAGCCTTTCAGTTCACTCGACACTAACATGAAATCATCGCGACGTTGTTCCGTAGACTCTTCACTATTCTGAAAGGAAAGTGCTAGCAGTTATATAATATTTATCGAAAGAACTGGGAAAAATCCGACCTCTTTGTGAAGATCTTTCCATCGAATTTCATTAGTGTAAAGATTACTTGATATTTGAATGGCATTTCATCACTGCTTGTGCAGGACCCAGCAAAATTCCCACTTTTTCGGAGTTTTTCTGGCTTCGCTAGTGTCGTTCCCTGGAGTCCCATGGTCAGCCTGGCCAAAGTCTGCCCCAAATCGTCATCACCACAGGCAGTAGCCGCCTTCGTGGATTAGAGAGAGATTTGCCACCATACGACTTTGATACCAGAACGGTGGTGGTTCCTGGTATTGGTTTACTCTTGGCTAGGCTTCCTGGTGGAAATCTCAGCACAGGAGACTGCCGGGGATGAATCGCCCCGCTGTACATCGCACCCAGGAGCACCCACCCAGTCACGGGGCGGTTAACCCATAGGGAGCGTAAAGGTAACTTTACTAAATTATTTTAAACACGATTTCCAGATGAGTTAACCACATTGCTTACATTTCATTGAGCTGTAGGAATATATTTAGGAGTTGAGCTTCTTGTTGACACATTAACTATACGCTGAACCCACACACACACCAGCATGTAGACAACAAACGGTGTATGGATAAAATCACTAGGCTACCCATTTTTCTTTAAGGGATCTATGATAATGTTTTTATTTTGGTACTGTGAGAAGAAACGCGACATTTTAAAGTAAATATGTAAGTATTGAAAACGGTTCGAAATGAAACAGCGTGCTAGCGCTTATTCCAAATAAAACTTCTGCTTCAACCGAGAGGAAAAAAAGGCAACGAAATAAAAGACTGAGTGTTGCTACCTCCAAAAAGCCCATGGGAATAATACTCAGAATGATAATCTGAGATCCTATGCAACAATTTTTTCAATCTATGCTCCCAATGGTTTACCGCCTCATCGCTGCTAGGAGGTGTTCCTGGGTGTCGGACTGCAATGTACAGCGGCGGGGGATTCGTCCTCCGGTAGGATCTCCTAGGCTGAGAACGAGCCCGGCGCTTCCATGAGGAAGCCTGGCTAAGATTAAATTAATACCTAAATCCACCACCGTCCTGGTATCAACGTCGCATGGTGGCAAATCTCACTTTGATCCACAAGCGCTGCGACTACCCGTGGTGGTGAAGACCTGGAGCAGACTTTGGTCAGGATGACCTCGTGATTCTTAGGAACCACAGTCGCTTAACCAGCAAATCTCCGAAAAATGGTGTTTGTGGTAGGGCCCACATAACCAGTGTGGACGGGCCGTTCAAGTATCAAGTAAATATGCAATAATTTTCGTCTCAAAGCTCACCTTCAACTTCAACACTGTCCATCCATACGACTTGTCACAACTGAGGAAATGATCCCATACGTCACTCCCTCGAACGCAGTGTTGAAGATTGTACGTACACCGCTCTGTAATATACAATTTCGCCTATGAAATAATACCAACGTAAAGTTGTTACAAATTGCGGAAACTCCTAAAGCCTGTTGAATTGCCTTTTTCACAAGTAACGACTGGAACAAAAACGTATAAACAAAGACCTTTGACGAATAACAAAGTAGTAGTAAGAAAAAAAGAACAAATAGTACCGCTTTGCGATATTTTGAGGTTTACCGCTATGGTACACCATTACATCGCATGATTCAATGACCACTAAGTCAGCCATACCAGGAAAAGTTTAAGGATAAAAGGGATAAAGCGCTTAGCGTTCACCTATCCTTCAGTAATCCCTACTGCATTTGACTCCATTAAACGTTGTACTCTCGATTAAATGCACATCTGGCCTAAACATTGAGTTCCGGGAGCTAGTAATCAGCACATATTACGCCGTTGCTCTTATTCTTCCAAACGAATCTGGCACCAATCTGCCCACTCCAGAAGAATGAAGGGCTTGCTTATAATGAGTTGTTCTGGCATAGAACCAACGACAAAGCGTGTATTCACGGAGCGCTTCTAAGCACTGCGCTGCACCTGACCACATGGAACGAAACTGATGGCCATACGACAATGTGAACCTCCTAATTCTGTTAAAACTTTAGTTTCCATATTTGTGATTGACTATTCTTGGCTATAAGCAACACAAAGATACCCACCCTCATAAACGCAATTCCTGGCGTTTGGTGGTCGGCAACCGTAGTATTCAAGAAAATCAACCAAAAAGGCACGCGTATTGTAGCCAGGTGAGAAGAGAACCTGTACTTTTTGAAATTACGAAGGGAGTCAAAGAAGTACCTAATAATTTCCAGGATCGACTATCTATTAACCTCGGCACTGGATTATAAATTCGTCGTTCTCTCCCTCAGCAATCGCGAGGTTGCTAAACAGCATGCATTTACTTCCATACAATAACACACACACACACGTACACACATACACACATACAGTCATACACACACATACACACATGTATACACACACACACGTACACACATACACACACATACACTCATGCACACACGTACACACATACAGTCATACACACACGAACACACATACACTCATACACACACGTACACACACACACACACACACACACACACACACACACACACGTACACACATAGACACACATACAGTCATACACACACGTACACACATACACAACACACACACAACACAACCGAAGCTAACGTTTCGGCAGTATCGTCTGCCTTCCAATGAGGAAGAGCCACTGATTCTGAGTCGCATGATGATTTTCAAAAACTGCAACTAAAATAGTGCTTACTCACCTTATCCTTACCAACTAAATATTTACTCAGCATTCTCAGATGAAAGTCGTAGGTGAAGGAATGCAGATGACACTCTGTGACGATGACATCCTTGAAATGTTCCAATTCACGAATGTGTTGCACTGAATCTGCACACGATTCTTCCTGAACAATAGTCTTCATCCAAGACATTAAGTGCAAGTCTTTAACTATCTGAAAATTCTTGGTTTTTAATTCTTGTCTTAGAATTCGAGACAAGACTGAACTCATCTTCAACTTTTTTAGCTGAGAGACAGGCGAAACTAAGGACCCGAATGGTGTGGCAGTGAACGCGTTAGCCCCAGAAAGGATAATACCGCGTGCGTTTCTCACCGCATACATCTGCGGTCCGGAGTTGTGCAAGTATCTCAGCATCATTGTGGTTGTATCATCATCAATTATTTCGAAAAAAACCAACTCAACACAATTATGTTATTTTTTAAAAGTTAGGCAAAATGTAAAAGGTGCTCCAATATCATTTTTTTTTCTATTACACATAAGACAATTAGTTAATTTTCAACCAGATGCAATCAAAAATATTCGCACCTACCCAAATTTGACCAAATACGTTCGCTTATAAAGAATTTTATTAAGTGAGATAAAATACTAGAACCAACGAGGTTTTGTCAAAAAGCTGTAAGTTTTCTGAACCTATCAAGATAAAATTGTGACTTTCTGGAGCCCAGCAATCTCTTTCAACATGTCATCTACGCGCCCGTCTGCTGTGCTTACATCAAATTCTTAATAATTCAAATTCCACAAATCGGATTCTTGGAAAATTTCAGTTTTCAACAAATATAAACTGAAAACTACGTCTCAGATGAATCGCACACGTCCTTAGTGCGGTAGAGCAGAGGCTTTTCTTAAAGTCTTCCAAGCGCTCAACTCTCTAACTACTTTAATTATCAAGACAGAAAGAAAAGACGTTAAGTGAAAACATTATTAACACATCCTATGCATTTAAGTTCTGTTTCACTCCACTAAAACTGTGAAATCAATGAACGTACACAGCTCATCGTTTTGCATGCCGAGCGCCATATGAAGATTTTAAACATGAAGTATGGTCGCTTAAATGACAGTGTTACCAGCACTATACCACCTGTAAAAAGCATTCTGCAACACTTTGATATCAAAGCAAATCATTAAAAATGATGGTGATTGAATAACGACCTTCTAAGAAAATAAGGAGATCATGCAGAAACCTATTTAATTCTAAAAACAAGTAAAATTCGCCTAGTCGTCTCATACAACCCGATTAATGCAATTAAACAACGAGGAACTCGACAAGGTTTCTGTTTCCTTAAGTTTTGAGCATTCAAAAAAGGCAAGGTACTTGACATTAAACACGACGAAATAAAGCAATTAAGAGCAAATATTCAGAGAAAACTCATAAACAAATTGAACGACAACCAGGAGTTCTTGTTGATATCAGTGGGCACATTAGACTGTAAGAAATAGAGTAAGCCAGTGCAGAGAGAGCGTTAACTATGATCGAAGAAGAGTTTCTAGCGCTCTGGTCGTTTTTGAAATCTTCATGCCACTATTTCTTATCGAATAATTTTATTCTTCAAATAGTAAAAATCCTCACCTTCCATTGCCTTGCACATTACTACAAACGGTGCATGTTTACATCCCTGTGGATAATTTGTCGTATACATGTGACGTTCTTCGCTTCTAAACAAAACATTCAGAAAACCATAGCCAAGACTTTTCTGAACCAAACCTCACGATTCTCCTATTCTGCAGCTTTCTTCAGCCTTCTAGAATAATGTCCAAAAATCCGCAACTTATTTAGATGAAGCAATAAACTATTCACCTAGACCCAAATGAAATTTGCTCCGCCACTAACGTACCGATCATACCGTATGATCAAACGAGCACATTTTAAGAAATATGATGGATGCATCGACTTTTTCAATGTCTATTACTGCTCTAATGAGTGAAAAACTTCTTATGAAAGATAGCTGCTAGACAGTTACTTTCTTCACGGGTGCAAGTTCCAGTTAATCAGCGTCGAACTTGAATGTTTGCGACAACACTTTCTCACTATCGCAAAGCAAATGCGTCCAATAATCTTAACCTTACAAATGAAAACACGTTAGAATCATCAGAAACCGACCTCCGCTCAACATTTGTCACTTTGAGCAGTTGCAAACCAAGAAGCGATAAATAGGAAACGTAATCAGCCATCAGAAGATATAGAATCTTTGCCTGAAATGAATATAAAATGTGCAAACACGAACGATAAGTGTTTCTATAAGTACGGTGCAAATTTGCTAGAAACAATAAAAGGTGCAACACCAAGAACCTATCCATAGCAAGAGATAAAAACATGAATACCAAACAATTCTAAGCTCCCTTAAAAAGGAACTTCTAATCCCCAACATTCACAAGTGTGTAAATTTTCAGTTAAGGAATCAATAAGCAGAGGAAGGGAAGGCAGAACCGAAACAGCCAATTTGCGATTAGCTATGAAAATAAGCAACATTTACTCTAGAAGTTGGCCAAATTATACAAACCTGACACGGATCATCATCATCAACGTCGGATCGTATTCGAAACGGCGCAGGAGCAGATGGAGTCACGCTAAAAGTGAAAAGCTAAAAATCCTGTTCAAACGAGTGACACATAGAAGTGTAAAAATCCAAGTGCTTTTTTTTAAATCCTCGATAACAATGAACATTGTTCCTGTATTAGCTAAAGAGCGTTACCACCCAGGGACCTCATTCACAAAGGGATAATTTGCAGGCTAGTTGCGCGGCAACGTAGCGTGTCCAGGTGACGTACAAGGGTCTATCGCAGACCAGAAGCCACCTAATACTTCTCTGACATGCAAGTGGATTCAGAGGATGGACTCTCTGTTTCTAGCGAACCGATTTGAGGCATACCTTCTGTGGATGGGTGCGCTGGTGTGGTCTCGTTTATTCGGATTGTATGTTACGAGCCAATTCAGTGAAAAGACTGCAATCAAGTAACAACGAGGTATATGGGAAGCCGTTTTAGCCGCCTCCAAGAAATAAGCTCACTGTCTACTCTAGGGGAGAACGGCAAGCTACCATTGAGTATACCCGCCTCACACGTTCAGAGCTCGCCAAGCTACACACGGGAATCAAAAAGCTAAACACAGCAAAATAAACGGGCCTCATTTCCCTGACCTCGAAAGAGCCTCCGATTCGTCAGCATTGGGTAGGACAAGTACGAAGTGGTTACTAAAATCTCAGAGCCATTCCAGACTGCCTAAATCGCAAAGTACTAAAGAAACGACCTGTGCCTACAATGCATGCACATTTGCATGTGTCCTCGATAGAAGACTTGATCATGCAGGCTAGAAGGATGAGGTACGACGTCATCGCATGGGCTGAGACGAGAACATGCCACCCATTCAACGTCGTCTATGACACAGTAAAAAATTGTTCCTCGGAACATGCCACAGTGGAGGATTTGCTGACGGCTGCGTTCTCGTCAACACGAGCTTGGCCATGAACATCGATTCATTAGAACAACTAACAACCCCAATCGAACGTTGACGAATGAAGAGATTTGGATTAACACCGTCTTCGAGAATCACCGTCGTCTACGCACTAACCTCAAACTATAACGAAGACCAAGTCGAAATGTTTTACATAGACTTGGAGATGTTCCACAAAGAAAATACACTCGAGGTCATTACAGGTTTTAACGCTAAAATTGAACCAAGAAGAACGTCTGAAGAAGGTTACATTGGGACCCACGGACTAGAATGGAACGAACAGGATGAGCGGCACTCTGAGTTTCTCATGGTGACCAAGACCATCCATGGTAACTCGCAATTCAAGAAGAATGGATATATTGCACCACCGGTTCTCCCTTCCGAAATCCGACATGCCATTTCGTCGGTGAAAAATCGAACAGCACCAAATCCGGACAGGATAAGACCAGAACACTTGAAGAACCTTCCGCCAGTCCTCGTAAACACATTGGCTCGGCTCATCACACGTTACCTGTCTGAATGCAATGTCCCTAGTCAGTGGAAAACCAGCAGGACCATGTTATTGTTCAACAAGGGTAACCTACACGATATCGGCAACTATCACCCAATCTGCTTGCTGTCTGCGGCCTACAAACTTTTCACTCGAGTCATCCTAAACAAGAGTGGCAGAACACTGGACGAAGGACAGCCATGTGAGCAAGTAGGGTTTCGATAAGGATTTAGTACGATTTACCAAATAAACACGATAACAAGGCTCATTGAAGTATCGCAAGAATACAAGAGACCACTCCGCATCACTTTCATAGATTTAGAGAAGGCTTTCCCCTCAGATGAGGCAGAACCATTCATGGAAGTTCTGGACAGATATAACATCCCTAATTAGTATAAAGTATAAAGTATTAGTATAAAGAAAACGACACATTCATATTCCAATGCCGAGGTTAAGAGAAAGTCGATCCTGGGAACTAGTATAAAGTTTTTTTGTGAGGTACATAAAAATTTCATATTCAAAATAACCCCATTCTGCAACGGTATTAACGTCGACGAGAAAACAGGATTAGACAAGGCGATTCCATCTTGGCAGAATAGCTTACGCTGAGCTTCCAGAACATCATACGAACATTGGAATGAGACTAAATCAGAGTGAAAGTCGATGACTTACACCATCATCGCTTTGGTGATGACATCGACCTTATAAAACTAAGCATTAGCCAAGCGGAACGAATGCTTGCCGACTTTGATAACGCTTCCGGGTAGACTGGTCTTCGATTAAATCTCACAACGACGATGTTCACTAAGTATGGGTAGGTTTCGCATGTCCCATTCACTCTAACGGAATAAACACCTTTGAATGCTCCAACATCCGTCTAAGTCGGGAAGTCGACATGAGGAAGGACTTAGCTTCAGAGCTGGGCGGGAGGAAGCGAGAGGTTTAGCATGCTTTCAAGAGCATCGGACATGTAGTGGGAAAAACAAAAAACACCCACCTCAGTGCCCACTTTTTGGACCCCCTTCCTGCCTGAACGTATACCTCAGAAACCTGGTTGCTACTTAGACAGGATCAAAGATCACTCAGCGTTCTAGAACGTGTAGTCGAAAAAATGATTCTAGGAGCATCCCGTATCACGTAATTGAGTAAAAGAATCCGTAGCTCCGAATTACTTCAGCGACCAGAAATGAAAGACGCCGTTCAACATGCTTAAATGTCGAAAAAAGGTGTAGAGAACACGTAATGCGTATAAACAACCAGTGGACACCAGCGCCTAGTGAGTGGATTCCTTGAGTTGCCAAACACAGAGCAGAAAGACCATCCATGACGATGGTCAGATTATTCCCCTAGAAGAAAGACATGGTGCTCAATGAGTCCCTAGAGCAAGCAGGTTCAACTAGGCTACTCTTGTACGCGAGAGAGAAATGGAAGACTTTTTAGCGCTGGTTCGAATCATTCGACGATCTACGACAGGCGATCGGTGAGTGAAGGTGATAGCGTTACACTCCCTTGTGTAAACAGTACTTTTTATCTAATATTGTTAGAGCAAACTTCAATACAAAGATGAATACGAGTAAGTGCTGAGTAGGTGCGTGAAGTAAATGGAGGAAACGAATAAATGATAGCAATAACAGTACTACTTGGTGTATTAAAAAAACAGTTGAATTAATAACATTCGACCAACCTCAGAGTATTTGCGCGCTGGCGAGTAACAGCCAGCGAAGTAAGTGGTGCCGGTGCAATTTTGTCCTTTCTGGGATCGAGCTCCATTGCTCCTCTAACCTAAACTGCTAAAATTACACAAAACAATCCTATAAAGCTGGCGCTAATGAATGAATGAACATGGCGCACTTCAGCTATATTTCGCCGCCACTTTGGAAAGAACAACACTGGAGTCTCGACAAAATGCACTAGTTTACTGGCCGAACGCAACTTCTCCAAATCAGCTTCCTGAGCAGATAACTGTTCTTATGGCGTATATTTTTTCAAATAGAAAATATTTTGAAGAGGATAGGAGGATGGAGAGAATGAACTTTTTTCTCGTCTTCTCATTAATCTTCTCTGCACTGCTGAATGCTCATAACCGTTATTCATAAACAATATATACCACTTCTTTCCTACTCTACCGTTAATCGCGCACTACAACCAGTGCTTTTCTTCTTGGTCATGTCGACGAATCGCACATAATTTTTTTCGCCCTCTTCATCAAAGTTTCTCAATGAAGCCACCGACACTATTAACATGTGTTCAGAATACAGATAGTCACCAAAGTATTTGCAAAAACTAGGAACCTAAAAAACCAACTCAGATTTTAACACCGTTGCACTCGGTCTAAGCAGTGCTACCTTATCATCGGATCCTTATAGGTAAAAAAAATGATGCTCATTTTTTTTTCTGGAGATAGAATAGTTACGATCAACATATCGAGCTTAACTCGTACAATGGTTATGCTCCCGGAAGAATTCTATGGGTATATGATCGTAAACGTGGAGCAATTTCCAGACGAGACCCCGAACCAGGTTTAGTGTACCTTCAATATACTTGATACCCAAGGATTTTGCACTAATGGTATACAGATGATTTAAGATCACATATATCTAAACATGTGGACGAAGACATCCGTATGCTATTCTCAATGAAGGAAACAAGTTGATGCAACGGCAAAAGATTGTCTAACTCTGCATGCACCTGCCTCTTAGATGAAAGACGAAAGGTTTTGTTCCAACTGTAAAATCCTCTCAAATCACATAGGTTCACCTCTAGCCGGCCCATTACTAGCGAACCCTAATGTGAATGAGACCAAAAGATAAACAAAAAGTCCGCCCCCTAATGATTTCCCGACTATTTGCTCCCTACTTTCTTATTTTTGTATTAAACCTCCCAGCATGGCCACCCACGGTGAAAACCACTCTTTTATGGATGCTAAACAAAGAAATAACCTACGCAAAAAACCGACATAATTCTAAAAGAAACCTCTATTTAAATAGCATGCACTCTCTCTGTGTTGACACTTTGGAAACATGAGCACAGTTATCACTGGAACCCATGAGAAAGAACATTTATCCAGTCAGAAAAACAACGGACCAAAAAACCCCAGTTTACATAATCTCAGTAGTTCTACGCTTCTCCTCTTTTGCACTTCCACTTTGTGATGAAAAACTAAACTTCTACTTACCGACATTTCACAATTACCAGATAGTAAGGATTCATGTAGTGTAGTGAATGCTCGCATTATATTGAGGTGATCTCTGACATGTCTTCTGAACAATGAATCTATTGAAAAAGCAGTTCTAAAGAAAATGATGAGAAATCCCCCCATTTTGGAAATAATATGCACTCCAAATACATTCGATTTCTTTATGGTGCAAGAAACCTAAGCTTACACCCTTCTACAAGTCCAAGCAAATTAGTCCTATGCTTTGTGCGAGATGTCAAGAAAAGACATGCACACTGCTTAAACTATTCGTAGTACGGACATTATAGTATCCCTTTCAATTCGGTTCCAGAAATTTCTGCCACGCTATCCATACTCATTCAATAGGTATCCGAAAGAAGAGTAAAATAGGCGAATTCTAATCAGGTAACTTAATCAACAATTAAGTGCTATTTGGTTTTAATCGCTATGGCTACTATATTATTATTATACGGTGCGTGTAGTGCAGTGTCGGAGGCGCCCTGAAATACACTTGAGATTGATCCTCACCCTAGGGTTACCCAGCCTTCCATCTCTCCGGGGTCCGCGAATTGGTAAGAGACTTGTCTATGAGGATAGCAGCACTGGCTGGATACATGGTAGGGCACCGCGAATCATTGCAAAGACCAGATGTGCATTCAATCATTTCAAATGATGCTTAGTTAAACCGAAGGCATAGCGCATCCCTCAGGGATTAATCAACGTCGAAGCTTACAGTAAATCTTACGGTTACTGTATAGGATACGTGGATGTAAATATCCCGAAATAGACTCAACGTAAGCTGTACATGTTGCAAAACCAAAACGCTTCTAAATGGCAATGGCAATGTGTTTACATGACGGACCCTAGTAAGACATAGTTTGCCTCTTCTAAAACGTTTTCATGTTCTCAACGCCTCTAGTACTCTTGTTAGTGAAAATTATTTTTTATTTTCAAGAAACAAGAAGGTCCGCAATCTACGACAAACTGCTCGAATTCTATTGGGCTACCCACAAAAATGCAGCGCCGTCGCGTATGGGTTAACGGGGCCGAAAGTACGCCGCATTCCTATTAGTACTAATCAACTGCGAACACTTTTGCACTTTTGAACCAGCCACTTGATGGAAACTCGACGCTTCAGATTTCGAAGATAGATTTAACCGAAGTTGAATGATAGCGCTTAGATTGCAGTGTGCAGTTAAACTAGTCATGTTCTTTATGAAAACGGTTACATTCAAGAGTACTTACTTACTTGGATTCTTGGATGGCCCACCCTCACTGGTGGTGCGAGCCCCACCATAATTCCCAGTTTTCCGGAGTTTTCCTGGTTTAGCCAATGTGGTTCTCTGTAGTCCCGAGGTCAGCCAAGCCAAAGTCTGCCCCAGATCTTCACCACCACAGGCAGTCACATCCCTTGTGAATCAGAGGGAGAATTATCACTATGTGACTTTGATACCAGAATGGTGGTGGATCCAGGTATTCGTTTACTCTTAGCTGGGCTTCCTGAGTCCGACACTCATGAGCAACTCCTAGCCACGATAAGGCGGTAAACATACAAGGAAGCAAGTGAAGAGTCAGATGAAAATAAAGTAATCAACTAAACAGTCAAATAAACATTCGATGTCACACTCTATTTTTGTTTTTACACCGTTCTTCACTTTTTAAGACAAAAATCTCGAATAATGGCGTGAAAAGAATGTAAACGTAAAAATAATATAAAATAATCCCCTATGAATCTCATAAATACCTTATATTTCGCATTTGCTCCAACTGGTCTTGTATAAGACACGGTGAGCGGTGCACAAGCAGATGTGGATTATCTAAATAAACCAACGGTATGCTTTCGAATCATGTTTCAGATTCTATGAACGAATTTCATATGCATTTACAATCAACAAACATTACACGGCAGTTATTTTGTCGTCAAAAAGAAAAAGTCCTTACGATCTCGACGATACAACCTAAATAGGCTTGATGAGTAACCCTTTGGCAAAGCATCGATCGCCGTCACCTGAATAGGGACTTATAAATGACCCTTCACAATTCAAAAACAAAAACGTACCCAAAAAAGTCCTATTGGGAAGGCTGGAACTTTAGCATACCTGCAAGTCATCTGGAGGATAGTCCTTATCCATTAACTCTTCTGGATGCCGCCATACTAACACCAAATATGGGTTATTTGACGGTGATTGGAAATGCTAAAAGCTATGGACAACACAGTTAAAGAAAAATAGAGCATAAAAAACCTAGTCTGAACCAAAGCACTCGTTTCTTACTTCCAGTGGCGACAAGTGTGTAATTCCCATCTTATGCAAGCCAATTTCACGGACCAAACGTGCTCGAGCGTTATACCATGACGTTGCTCTAGATAAAACAACACTTCGAAGAAGATTTAAAGGAAATGTAGAGGAAACTGATATACAAGAAATATATTGGAAAAAATTCTCTATATAACAGTAACATATGTGTGGATATCTGATTCTTTAAGGACTCATTTCCATAAACCAAAGTGGTAGAAACTTAAAGGATAAAGCTCTCGGAACTGATCAATCTCCGAGGGGTTCACCTCGCATTCGGCTTCATTAAGCATCGTTGGAGGTTATTAAATGCATTTAGGGGATTAAATGCACATTCATATCTGGCCTATACAATAATCTGCATTGGGTACCCTATGTGTGTAATTGTGCAGATCAGATAAACATTCAGTTTATCTGACCTACACAATGACTCGCAGTGACCTACAGACCTATGCAGTCAGAGCTGCTATCCTCCCAGGCAGGTGTGGCACCAATATCCCGATCCAAGAGTGAGGCAGCGCTTGGTGAACCTGGGTGAAATGCGCTTGGACCAAAATGATAACAAAGATAAATTCAAAGATAAATTCATTCAAAAATGTTGGCAGTTGAAGAAACGTTCGCTAATTAAAACAGTTTTATTGCAAATACGATTGTCACCAATCAGAAGCATCTCGACGATCACTACTTATTTTCCACTGCTCTGACGGCTTAAGAAGTTTTCCTCTCGATTTGCGTTCATAGCATTACTTCCCAGTTTGACTCTCACCAGACTGCATAATTCTCTAACAGTTAAGTGACTCCATTTTAGGACTGCTCTCCAGAACTATTACACATTCCCCACTTCAATGGAAAAATACCGTAAAATAAGAAGGCCAAAAGCATGTATTTTATTTTCGGATTTCCCGAAATGATACCACAAGTAGATAAGCCTTTAGGTTTCACATTTTTCTACTTCGATAAAATCCTGATGGGATAGTCTTTGATACTTTATTTATAGTTTCTCATTAGGATGACAGAACAAGTGCTGCTATCATTTATCATCATCATCACCGTCATTTCCTCATATGCGGAAACGTTTTGAGATGTATCAGAAAATATGTTAAGGGAAAAGCCAGAAAGAAAACCACAAAGCACCATAAAGGATTTTTACCTTGCCACCATATTCATCAACGAAGCTGACAAGAATGGCATGAAGTTGTAAAAGTACAGGGTGAGCTTCTCCCCATGTACCGTGCCATATAGCAGCCGGCGTCGTGGAATGAATTGACTTTCCTCGGTACACGGCAAAAACAACTCCTTCGATACTGGAATAATGAAAATACAATATGCATGCCCTATGGAATTGTCTGACAACCAACACACATTATTTATTTAACTCACTTGTTCATTGCTTGGCCATAAACGCATTTGAACTTTCAAATTTGGAAGAACTCTGTGGCGATGAGCACGCTAGCAGAAAAAGCTTTGTTTAAGAACTCGACAAAAGTCAAGACGGTCAACGTCGTCCGAATTAACAACATGAGAAAACTGCCCATCAAACGACACCCACTCCATTGCAGACGAACCGTTTCTCAGAACATGTCACACTAGTGAGCTTAGTCGAAATGGTAATCACAACACGACTGTGCCCATGAACATCGACTTTATTTCTTTAAAAACGGTTTTACTTTGGATTATCCCCGATGGAAAGAGATGTGGACCAATGCCAGATTTAACATTCCTCTCCTCTATGTCTCAACGTCAAGTAACGATGAAAATGAAAGAAGAGTTTATATAGAGTAATAGAATTTAGACAGCGGACATCGTAGCCTCTACAGATTCAACACCTACAGTTCATTCAAGTTTATTTTCAGATGAACATCAAGACGAAGCTTCACAGTTTACAACAGTAAATGTAATTGTAACTCAATTACCAAGGCTAGCCTCTCGATGTCAGGTTAACCTTCCCAAGTGACGAGCATTACGGTAAAAATAATCATATTACAGTAAATTAAAGGTTTTGTCCAACCGATATCGTTGTTATCCCAATGTCCTTGCAATACTGCCTTTTCACTGCAACAATCTTTTCGCAGAAAGAAAAGAGAGCACCAAAAACTCAAGAAAGGCAGCACGAATTATAAGCTCTTTCTTTATTTTGGAAGGAACACCAACAATATTTGAAATATCGATGATAAAATGACCGTCGTAATCAGCACCGTTACGAAAGTGTTAAGAAAGTGGGAAAGGTTGAACGAAAAGAGGATCTTTCCGGTTTACATCAACCGCCACAAGTATGGAATCCCACACTACACGGTTCCAACAGGACTAGGCCTGAACATCCTAAAAAAACCTACTATATTGCGTCCTCAACACACTGACTCGGCTTTCCACGTATTATCTGTTATCTGGTAGGATTAAACTAAACGGGATGAGGGGATAAATAGCACAGTGGTAGTGATGTCGGCCATCACGAGCATAGTGCTACTTCGATTCCGCTCCTGGTCATCCAAGTCCCTCATCCCTCTGGGGCCGGAACATTAGTGCCGGACTTGTCTGGAAAGAAATCACTCTCTGCAAGGATTTTTCCCAATTACAGCAAGAGCAAAGACAGCAATTCGTTTTATTTTCATGGACTGAAAAAGGTCCTTGAACCCCTGAAACCTAACCAGTGATGGAAGCTATGACCAATCGTATCATCGCTGCTCAATATACAAAAAACCACGAAGTTTCAACATCCCACAATTACATTATCATTAACTTAAGGCAATCTCGTAAGGAAATAGCATATCCTGGACACATCGCCCTTGTGATATTCTACTAGATCAACTCACTCTGAACTATCATTTCCTAGAAAATAAGAGCGTCGTCGCGTATTTCATAGGTGACCAGAACACACTGTACAATTAAAGCACTAAGCGAAAAGGACGAACTGGGACTTTATTGCATCTGTTCGAACGATTGTGTGAGCAGTGAGACGGCATACTAGTAAGAATTAAAAACGAACCGCAATTATTCAGTCGCAGTAACGTCTCCGGGCAAGCACCAACGGGGTCAAAACCGAATCGCTGTGTTTCGATTGCTACTTGCACATCCATACATATGAGAATAGCATCGGGCACATCGCAGTCGTAAGGATCTCTACCAATGTCAGCCTGAAAAGCAGCACACAGAAATTACTCTAATGTATAATTTTTTAAGATTTACACAAGAATTTGCTCCGTTCACAACAATAGTCGCCAATTTTACGCTAAATCTTCCTAACTACCTAAACATTCCGTAAAGGACTTTATCAATTACTTAAACTCTATTCCGACAGACTCACACTCATACAATATTGCATGGTTGATGGAGCGGCCTCATAACGTCTTTCGCGAAGTTTCGTTGAACAACTGCTTGTCCAAGACGACGTTGAACTGTGCTGCATTAGCTCGTTAGTACGAGGAGTTGGTTCGAAAATTTGCACACGATCTGGATAGTTCGGATCAACATTGCGCACCTGCTCCAGAATACGATCGGCGATCTCGCGCAATGCCTAAACAATCACTCTCAGCAATCCATTCCTAATTTCCTCGAGCTTAAGAGTTACTACGACGAATAGCAGATATAACTACTTTTACGATGTTTTACAGAACAAAGTCTGACTTCAAACATCTCAGCTTTCGTTTCGTAGTCTCTTCAAAACATGTCAAAGAGAAACTAACAACTTCAGACTCACCAATGAAAACTAAATAATAATCACTGCATTATATTAAAAAGAAAAAAAAGCTTGATTTATACTATATCAACTATACCAACAGTAGTCTCGTTAACACATAAGGGAACGGGTAAACCAACAGTAACGATGCTGTTCATTACGAGCGACCCGCTGCCTCAAACCTACCCAGAGCCTACCAAGCCTCCAATCCCTACGGGATTAGGAATTTGGCATTGCACATTTCTGGGATTAGCTCACTCCCACCAATCTACAGCGGAACGCCCTAGGAAGGCTATCATAAGACTCCAGACAGAATCAGCTCTACCAATATCTAAGAACTTCCGTGAAAGAGAGCTAAATCTTCAAGTAGCAGACGAACCCACTAACAAATCCGAGGACCCTCGTGGATGACGGATGCGATCGCGTCATGTTTAAAAAAAAATTCCCGTTTGCGTCTGTCGTACACCCAGTACGTTCCGCACACTTGACGGACAGGAGCAGCATCATGCTTTATCATACTATCGTTTGTTTTTCCTGTTTTCGACGATAGGGTACTCCACTGCTCAGGCTCGCGCATGGAGTTCTGGCAGCAAGTCATGTGTAACTTCTGTTTTGCAGCCTAGAAGTGGGCTGATACCACAACCACGTCAAAAATGCTGCGCACCACCCATAGGGCGCTTGAACGATGTCTTTTGAAATTTAACCACCACTCACAATGTCTAACTGGAATGAGCAGTTCAGATCATCGAAAGCCATCCTATCTACAAAATCCAAGATAGTACACATCAACAGCGAAACACAGATGGGCCGGTTATACACTAAGAACAGACGACAGGTAAGAGAAAAGAACAGTGGAATGGATTCCAACAAAATGCATGCATACTCTTGCAGGATCACCCAACGATGGGCGGACGTGTCCTTGAGTAACGACAACCACTTGCACACGCAGATGTCAACAATTAAGAGATTACGGAATAAGCCTCGTCGACATTACCATGTTCGAGGCAGACCACCGACATCACCATGTTCGAAGCAGACCACCAACATGGACAACAACTTCGCGAGGGAGAAACGAATGGAGATTATGCTAAGGTATAGTATACACAACCGGTGAAGCTGAACCATACAAGTATCTAAGAAGTATGTTGATGAGTTGGCAAAACTGCAGGTTGATGATTTACCTTCTACCGTCCTCGTTGTTATAATGAAGCCTTAAGAGTCGGTTTCCCTAGAGACACGAAATAGCCACACTTGAAAATCTTCAGATCTTAATCACAGATCTTTATAACAGATGCCGCCGAACTGTGTGTTGTTTTGAGGAACATTTGTTCCTTCGAACTACGAATCCACCATGCTGACAATTAGCCGACCAGCCAATCAAGAACGGTACAAACGCCAGATCTGTGACCTTTGGAAAGCATAGCAAAGTACCAGCAACATAGATAGGAAGCTCGTAGAATTGCCCTTATCTCGAAACAACCATATGGCCGTCTTTGGTGTTGGGCTAACTTCCTTACCAAGTTCTTAACATGTACCATGTAAATTTATGAACAAAGATTCCTCATATAGAGATATTATTAGCAAAACAAATTTTAAAGTTGTCAACACCTACCTTATTAACTGTGTGCCTACAATCGAACATCCATGAGTGTCGCAAAATAGACGTGTATCGTTCTCCCTTTTCAGACAAAAACGACGGTATGCTTCTAAAAATAGACTTGTGCTAATGAAAAACTGAGCAATAACCGATAAAGTTTAGTGGTTTTATAAAAGAACCATCATAAACGGAGCACACTTAAACGTTGTGGGAGAGAACAAGCTAAGCAATAAAGTGATTATGAAAGTCCTCACAATGCAAAGCACTGTATAATTTTTGTTCTTCACTATTAAAATGGGAGAACGATAAGTAACCTAGTAGCAAAGAAACTAACCCAGACTGTTTATCCACAACAAAATCAAACCACAGCCCCGCCGTTGAGACGAATCCTGGATTCACATAGTCAGGTGATCGACAACTAGCACTAAAAACACTATTATAGAGTGAGTGATTTTCACTGAATGGAACTCAATCAGGAAAGATTCTTAATAATAAAACAAGCTAGAAGAATGGACGAATTCCAAATTCATCATTAAAACTCACGGGTAAACAAAATCCGATGACAATCTATCTATGTCTGAAGTGAATGATCCACGATGAGTTTCAAATGAGAATACCTAAACAACGCTAGAACACTGATAGATCTTGAATGTTTTAAACTTAAGGCAACAAATACAACACAAGATAGACGAATTGTTATGTGTACGGCGAATACGCTGTACACGCAAAAACTGAAGACGGTGAAGTCGTTCACAACATTGCTGAATACCTGATCGGTGCCTATCTTAAATCATTACGCTCCTCATCAACGTACAACTCCCTTTTAAACTGGCGTCGTAAAATTCCATTAATAAGCCCGCATAAATGAGACAAATACCAGTTAACAACTAGTCCGTGGTCTCTAGTCTCATGGCCAGGACGGTCTCTACTCTTCTCGTTTAATCTAAGAGAACCCGACGTATTTTTTTTCGGTACATATTGGAAAGGACAGTAATGACTATATTGACCGGAAGATGTAGACTCAGCTCATCCCTACTATGCCAAAAAAGTGATCTTGAATCCGAACAGCAACTTTTTTGAATAACAATACTCGAATCTGCATCATCCAAGTATGAAAGGCCACCACTACCACTGCGCTACCGCGTACACGTACAGCATTACACTTTGAAGAGGTTCATATATCAGCAACCACCATTTTCTAAAACACTCTAGCTATTTCGACTTTTTTTTTCATTTTTACATTGTAGAGACCAGCTGATAATAATACCTTATTGCACACCTATCGCAACAAATGTCTTCCTTCTCGGCGAAAACAAGATAAGTATTTTTCAAAAAGAAATGTTGTACCAACCGAATTGCCTTTACTTCGCGCCGATGAGTCTGTCTGTAGGCTCGGTGTTGAAGCAACCGGTAAAGCGTCGAATGAGTCTCGCTTCCGGAGTTGCTGCCTGCGCTCGGAAGCTGTTGTCGGCGTTTTCGCTGATGATAAGGATTCTAAATGAAATCAAAGACTGGTTAAACTCACAAATGATCATAAGAATTCCTACTAATTAGAAAAGTAAAAAATAAGCGTATATTACCCAAGCATGGGGGATAAAATGACGCATATTAAAAGTGGTAGGAAAGAGGTGGAAGTGATGTTATGAAGCCAAATCTAGAATGCGTTGTCACCAGTAGCCCCGAATTCCAACTTGAAAATTATTTAGAAAAATATCGAAAATTCAAGTTTAAATGAGACACTTAGAGAGACTCTGAATTATTTATCATAAACAGCAAAAAGAAACTAACTTGAATGAGGGCTACTATGCAGCCCTGGGCTCAATGGAATTTGCGCACCGATTTCGATAATGTTTAGATTCAGAATACCGAATTCGGTGACAACATCACAGATTCCCTAAAAAAATGGCTGAAATCTCCAAATACAATCGACAACGAGAAGTCACATTTACACTGCTGAGTTTACAATAGAGTTACACGGTCATGCTGAATGAGGTCAATAAAGAGGTTTCTTTAAACGATTAGATATCTGGGAACAGTTATGTCGAAGCTTTAGCAAATAAGGAAGTTTTTCCATGTAGAAATTTCATGGCCAATTCAATTTGTTGGAGATGTAAAGATTTCACAAACTTACAAGTCCCACTACGTGCCGTAACTGATCGTCAAGCTGTTGAAGGTCCACATCGCCGGCTTGCCAAACAGCGAACTGAGCATACGCAGAAACGCCTATACATTGGATACTAATATAAAAACGAAAGCATATGAAAAACGCAAAACACCTCCATAACTATGATTTCCCTCAGTTGAATAATAAAGACTAAAAATCCACCGAAACTGAAGATTTTCACAAACATTTGTTGTAATCTACAGCCATAATCTTGCCTTCACACAGTCAAACTCTAGTAGTAGCTTAGGGCCTCACTATAGTGGATCAGCTGCAGCTTCCCACAGCACACAGCAGAATATTCCTCGGTGGAAGAAACAAAAAACGTTACCTATTTAGCGTGTTGTTTTTCATTTGCAGATCCACAAACTCAACAACCACGTTCTCCGACTAACCAGGAATCTCTTCCAGTTGTTCATGTCTTGCCGAATATGTCATTTCACTATACGCTAAGTCTCGTTCACTCTCCTCGTCCAACATCGGGGCCAATGTCTGATGTGTCGAGCTGTTCAAACGACCGTTCGTTAAAGTTGCCATCTCACCACGACTGTTCATGAAACGCATCTCGATCACAGCGATACCTACAATACCGACAACGATAACAACAACATTTACAAAATAAAGTAACTAAAAAATACAACCGGTCATGTAGATGTGCAGTAGTGAAATTATTCAGTCCCCTATGACGGAAGTTTTACCAAAGAAAACCAATAGATTTTAACCATTCATGCTCAAAGATATTACCATGTCATCACTACAAAATCATGACGAATTATGAAATTGACAGTATACAGTTAAGGAATTGTTTTCCCAACGAAATCGAGTACTACGTGCTAATCAGCTAAGCCCATTTAGTAAAAAATGTCTTCATTTTAGTGGACCTGGTTCGCCGTACTGGAGTTCAGAACCACTCATTAACTAACTGCTTCAACATGACAAGATCTTAACCTTGTTAACCTGGCGTATAAAGTAGTAGATACACAGTTACATCTCATTAATAGAGCCAATCAAGATGAAGAGCATGACATTTCCACCTGGAAGTCCAGCTGTGAATAAAACTTTGCCGAAACCCTAGAAGAGCACTAACTGCAAAATTTAGTCTATCACTGAAAAAGAATACAAATTACACGATAAAGAGTTTTTTTTCCGATTCACAAGGACCGCTGATATGCTCATGAAAATGGAACTCTGCCAAGAAGATTGATAAGGAAGAATGTTATAGACAAAACAAGAGAAGAGAGTATCCGAGACAAAAACTGCAAAACGCTGACCTCAGGCCAGATTCGAGTCCAAGATAACGCTTTCCGGCCGAAGACTCACATATTACTCATCGCACCACTGAAGCCCTTGCTTTGCCTTTCTCTCACCCGGTTTTCTACGTAACGGTGCTATCAGCAATCACTGGTCAACTGGAACGATCTGGGGAGCACAAATCGGCATTAAACTCAGTTAGTCTTAATCTGAAGTCGAGTTGTATTTCACATCGTACCTTGACGTGAGAAAATAATAACAGGAACAAATAAAAAGTAAGCAATGTGATTTCGAAACAGCCTCAGCTGAATTTAACGCCGATTTACGCTCCCTAGATCATTCCAATCGACGGATGACCGCTGACGGCACACTTCAGTAGAAAAGTAGATGTGAGAAAAGCAAACAAGGGTCTCGGTGGTGCAGTGAATTACACATGAGAGCTCGGAAAGGATAATCGCGGGTTCGAATCTGGACTGGGGTCCAAGTTTCGAAAATACCTCAGCATCAGAGTAGTTGTATTTCACATCAACCCCTACCGTGGAAAAATAATAAAAGACAGTAAATAAAGAGTAAACGTTTTTCATTCGACTAGTGCTCCATCTCACTGGATTCAACTCCGTGCGATACCAACAACGTTGAGAGGACGACCATCTGTAGACCATCGACTAGGACCAATTCGGCTCTCAAGAAAACGAAGATGTCGAAACGTTAGCCGAACAAATCTTTCTATCAATTTCGTGTCTGCTTAATAATCAAAGAAGGTGCAATATTTAATCCTTTCTCTTTTGTTACTTTAGGTGATAAAGAACTGCAGTCTCACATAGGGGTACAAGAAAATGTCTCACCAGTGGATCTAATTCCTCCTTGTGGTGATTTCACCAGAAGATAGAAAATTGGTACGTATGACTCGGATGGCTTTCCCAAATACGGAAGCGGAAGAAACACCGATTTCTGCTCAGTACTGTTGTTGCTACCGGATCCAAAATCCTCCTAGAAATAAAAACCTGTAAAACCAACCACGAGCAACCAACGCCCATGCGAGAATGCTATTACTGACCACTAGGGAAAAGTGCAATAACGTTTGTTAAGAACTGAATATTACTTTGTATCTTGCTGAAGGCATAACTGCTTGCATATGTTGATGCATGTAGTAATTCATTGGTTGTAGAAATTGTGACATAGAGCTGGGTATTGAGTAGTTGAATACATCAGCTGGTTTCGTTGAATCACGCTGTAGAAACTAAAAGACGCAACTAGAGCAAAACATATAGGAGACAAAGTAAAGTAAGACGAAGCACATCCAGAAATCTCACAAAGTTTCCGTTAACAAACAAGTTATATTGAATTGAACCATACGTTACAGTGAGTCTACCTCTCAACCTTTTGTTATCTAGTTTTAACAGAACGCAGAATATATTTGTAAAATTTGCTGGTAGTTTCGAAGCGTCATTTGCAATTCAGTGAGAAGAGCCACTAGATATTTGCTTAGATACTTGGATGGCCTGTCTTCACTAGTTATGCAGACCCCACCACATTCTCCAATTTTTGGACTTTTGCTGGTTTAGCCATTGTGTTTCCCTGGACTCCCGAAGTCAGCTTGACCAAAGTCTGCCCCAGCTCGTTACAATCAAAAGCAGTTGTTCGCCCTTGGGGATCAGCGGGAAATTAGCCACCACGCGACTAGTTTGATACGAGGACGGTGGTAGATCCTGGTACTGGTCTACCCTTAGCTGGGCTTCCTAATGTAAAAGGTCGGACATTTCCTCAGCCTGAGAGAAACTGCTGGGATACGAATACCCCGGCTGTGCATCGCAGACCGACACCCAGGAACACCACCCAGCCACCATGACGCGGTAAACCGAGGAAGAGCTCAAGCTCAGATTTTTGAGCTCAGATTAAGCTCAAAAAAGGAAAAACAAATTGCGAACAGCAAACAGAATACTCTAGTTAGAAAGTAGGCATGGATTCGAAACACAAACTTCCTACACTGAGATCTACTATTACAAACAAGAGATAAACAATATGATTGACAGACAATATTTCAACTACAGCGAGTGTTCAAGTCTTCACAAAAGGTACCTCGAAAAAAGAAACCGACCAGGACATCCGCACTATCCAGTCTCGTTTGTGAATTTTTTGCCAGTATGTCGATCATGTGACTTAACGTCACCTGATCGAGACGTTTTTGAAGACATTCCCTCAACACTTCGCAGATTTCCCTTCCTGGACGATTCACCCCGTAAACGGCCAACAGCATATGCGTTTTGAAGTGTTCAGATTCTCTGTAGTATAAAACTATAACAACAGTTCGTGGATTCTTCTTTCGAAGTTTGCAGAGGATGTTTAGACGGTTAGAGATTGTCTATCAAAAACCATAAATAACAGAACTCACCTAGTATCCCTTTTCTTCCTTACAGTTATTCGATTTCTTTTTAGAGATGCATTAAATGTATCTATCGAAGTGTGTAATTGCATGTACGATACATTTCCATCCGATTCCCTTGAAATCGAGAACTGGTACATTAGTGGAAAATAAGTGATATAATGGATAATTCTAAAAAGCAACGAACTGAATAAGAATAAGATTGACTCAGTAGTCATGAAATAAAACTGGCTCAAAGAACTGCATAAGGATAGCGGATTTGATTATAACGAATTATTTACACGTCACTTATGGGATATTCCAATACTAGGAGATAACTAGAACTCGAAACCCAATAAGAAAACTTTCATGACATTGCTATTATTGGTCATTAAGGTCATTAAAAATGTTTCGAAAGTTTCGCATTTTATGAGTCAAGCACTTTCATCTAAGCTTTAAGAACAACGCGTACATTCAACTGGTGGCAGTGTCAGAGTGGATTCTCGTCAAAGAATGTGCAAATAATTCTGCCATACATCAAGTAATGCACTTCTAATTTTTCAAACTCTGCCTCAGCAGCAGTCAGCAGCGACAAACAGAGATGTTCCTAGTTATAGCTTGGGTTACTCCTTAACGAATTATTGATAATACAGATGAGAAAACTGATCCCCTATTTTAACATCATGCAGGGCTTTTGAAAAACACCAACAATTTCAATCAAACACATTCTGGGCTCCACAAAAATAAAATTTTGTTGTTATGAAGTGAGAAAACTTGTCGGTGAAGATATGTAGATTCCATTGCAGATTCTACCAATTTCTATTTCAACTCATTAAGTTCGCTATGAGCTGTAATATATTGGAACGTATTCGTTCAAAGTTGAACGTTGCCGTTATTTTTGCATCAAAATTACCAAAATTCAACTCATGCATTGGTGCATGTGGTCTGTTTCTATATTAAAATACAGTGGCAAGAACGATGAACAATTTCACGGTCGACGACGCAGTTCTCACCTAACAACATAGGTGTTCGGGATGTTGCGTATAGCGAATTGTTCCAGCGATATTCGTAAGGTATCGCAAGCAATAGCCAACGGATAGCGACAGTTTCCTCGAGACAGACGTAAGCGAGGATGAACTTCGAACCTTAAATACAAGATAGTCCGTTACATCGTCAAATTTTTAAAAGTTATTTGCGCGCTCGTTTACTAATTGGAAAACCAGTCCTCACTAAGAATCGTGCACACATTCGGAAATTTTCCACTTAAGCAGGATCTTATTAATCTAACAAGATTTGAATAAATGTTTCCAGTAAACGCTAAAGTTCCGGGAAACTGGTCAAGTTCGTTCCCATGTCGTCATCACAGCCTCTCATGATGTCCTGTGAAAAAGATGATCACTTGTTACCAGGTTTTTGACAGGACTACAACGGTGTTTCATTACACCGAATTGATTTCAACTGCATTTTCCTGTGTATAAAATTCGTCCTCAACTTTTACAGTGAACATTTCCCATGGAGAAGAAAACGCACTCTATTTTTATCTCTACATCATCACGAATTTCCCTTAAATTAACTGTAAAATGCTTTGTAAGGTAACACGTGGTCGTTTATGAGGTTCCACGCTCCGGACCAGTAGCCAAGTCCTCCATCCACACTGGGTCGGCAAATTGTTCTCAAACTTCTGGGAGGATATAAAACACTGAACTGATACACGGGAAGCTTTCGCAAGTCACTCTATAGGCCAAGTACGCATTCAATGACCTCTATAACTCTATGAATGGAGTCGAACTCATGGGGCAACTCTTGTGAGAGTTATTAAGCTGAGCAACACATCTTTACGTTTTATCGTAAATTTATAGAAGTAATCTTAGGTAAACGGCACATGTAGCGCAGTGGTCGAAGGTGCCCTGCAATACGCACAGGAACGATCCCCGCGCCTCAGGCCCACCGCGCCCTACATTCCCCAGCAGTCGGCAAATTAACACCAAACTTGTCTGGGAAGACAGCAGCACTAGCTCGATGTATCAGTAGGCTACCGCGAGTCATTGTAAAGGCCAGATATTCATTCAGTCACCTCCAACGATGCTTAATGAAGTCGAATGCATGGCGCATCCCTCAGGGATTGATCAACGCCGAGAGCTTCATCCTTTCACTTATTAATCTTATGTATACAAGTAGAAATGCTTGAAAACAAGATTTCAGACTTTAGAACGAAATCAGAAGACACCAACGACTTACCACAATTTCTCTTGTAAAGGGCAGGCGAAATATCCTGGTGCGAACATGAAACGTGCTCCGTGCGATATATGAGTATCGACTTCGTGATCCTCCGACACTAAAATTTACTACAGAAACGGCACAAAAATGATGTTCAAGAGGCCGAGTATAGACCCGTTTACACTACAACTAATTCCAAAATCGTCGTTTATCTTTACGAAAATTTTAAGCGTAATGAAAATTAAATTCCAATTTTCAACCTATGACGTCACATCGCAATCAAATATCGTTCATTTATTTAATAAGAAACTCTTGTAAAGTGACTAACAAACGTATAACTTTATCAACTTGTTAGATTTGTGCAGTATGTACCTGCTATTATTTGGATGCTTAAAATATTCTCGTGTTCTATTTAGCACAATCCCTTAGTGGTTGCGATGTACAACTGGATCCATTTTACCCAAAATGGCCGTTCGGAGTGACAAGCACTGCAAGATCTGCATGCAGAGGTTAAACTAGAAGCAAACCTATGCCACGGTAGAGTTCGGCCAGCTACTTGTTGCTACATTCTCATCAAAAAGACAGAGAAAAAGGTTTTCAAGGCAAAAGTACACGCGCGTCTTGTCCCTCGTGCAGAGCTCATTAAACAATACTGGTGCACTACGACGGCGGATACAGTTAACTGATTCTAGCCTAAGTAACTGGATGATTAACCGGATCAAAAGTACTACAGGTGAAATCGATTTATTGTAATCGATATAAACTGAGCAGACAACACTTAAACAGAACCAATAACCTACTGTGTGTAGATAAATGCTAATGTTGTACCTGACGAACCTGATGAATTGTTACTTCTGTGCAACGAATTTTCATGCGGTGAATCGCGCGTATTTGTCATAAGCAATGGGTCGCATTCACGCAATTCGAACATCCGATTCAATAATAATTCCTAATAAAAATGTACTTAACAGTGGACTGTGCATCGCTGATATTCTGAAATAGATCTCACTTGATTTATGACTCGAATCGTTTGACGACATTTACGCCATGCAAGCTCAAATATGCGATAGTGGCGACCGTTCTCTCTAAAAGAAAAAACTTTTCATGCCAACTTACTTACTTGATACTTGAACGGTCCGTCCTCGCTAGTTGTGCGGGCTACAGCATAATCACCATTTTTCGGAGATTTGCTAGTTAAGCCATTGTGGTTCCTTGGAATCCCGAGGACAGTTTGGCCAAGGTCTGCCCCAGGTCGTCACCATGACAGGCAGTCGCAGCCCTTCTGGATTAGAGGGAGATTTGCCAACATGCAAATTTGATACCAGAACGGTGTTGGATCCTGGTACTGGTTTACTCTTTGCTAGACTTCCTGATGGAAACGCCGGGCTCCTTCTCAGCTTGGGAGACCCTGTAGAGGGGAGGAATCCACCCGCTGTAGATCGTAGTTCGACACCCAGGAACACCTTCCAGCTACGATGAGGTGGTAAACCGTTAGGAGATTTCACACCAACATTTACGTAAATTAGTACATTTAATTGAGAAAAAACTACTAGTTTTGCACCCTAGAAAAAAAGCACTTGTCGCCTAACCGTAGGTGGGGGTGTTCTTCAACGTTGAACGACCATATATTACAATATGTCCAGCCCAAGCTAAAGGGGTCAACATTTCCGTTCGAAATCCACTAAAAACGATCCACTTCCCAGAATTACCACCATCCCACCAGCAATTTAATCGCAAGTTAGGAAATCTCCCTCTGATCTACAATGGCAGGTGATTCTGCATTGACGGCTCGCTACCTCAAAACCCCATAAGAATGCTCGAGCTGTATTAGTTCAATCGTAGCCTCCTGCATACAATAAGCGTTTCCGTCTACGACGTAAAGCAATGTGACAACAGTGATATGAAATCAAATTTTGGTTTTCCCTCACTAGAACTAGAATAAGACAATAGGGCTATATTACTAGTATATTCTGAACTAAACCCTTTACATACATAACCGGCAGGATAAGACCAGACTGAACACTGCAAGCCTACTCGTTGAAAAACTTAAAAGCTGAACCGAACACGCTCCACTCTCAGTTATTAGAAGCACCCCAAAAAGGAACTAGTAGAAGGAAAGATCAGAGAGCTGCAGCTGAGTGGTAGTGGTACCGATTACCACGAGCAGGACGTTGTTCTGACCACCCTCTCTGGCCTCTTATGCCTCCGGGATCGGAAAATTGGTATCAGACTTGCCTGTGAAAAGGGTCGCTGTCAGTAATCCACGGGGAACGCTCTAGCTCGGCTATCTCAGGACTCTAAAGAGAATCGGCTGGTCCAGCATCCAATGACATGTATGACGAAAAAAAATTCCTCAATCAGTAGCCGAACCCATATGCAAAAAGTTTAAGACCTCCGTGCGTGATAGATGCAAGGAAAAAAACAAAATGCAAAAAACGCTGAGATCCGTACACGTGGAAGACGGGACGTGTAAAATAAACAAATAAGATAAAGAAAGGTCACTGAGACTTGGTGAGGGCGGAATTATTACCCACCCACGCAATGACATGGAATCGTAACACAAAAGTTCTACACCAACTGTTTCCGTTCAATAAACCCCGTACAGCCCAAAACCGCCTACCATCTCAACACAAATGACCTCGAATTCCTTCATTTCGAATCCGTGATGTGATAAAGATCACGAAAGAAGTCGCAGCTTCAGGACCAGATAATATTATAGCCGACTTTTCCAGAACTGGAGACCATGAACTATATGCACTTCCTGCAATTTATCTAACTTGTTTTCGAAAGAAAACATCTCCTGAAGAAGCCATTTAAGAAGACCGTAAACAGTTATCCTGGTGAAGATAAGTATAGCCGCAGATAGATAACGAATAAGACCAGGATAATCGCATAAACGGCAAATTCTTATGAACCTGTTGTTATGCTGACGACATCATTATCGTTTCGAAAAGCACGAGTGAAATACAGACGGTGCTTAGGAATGATAAAGCGGAAGACAATGGATACGATAGATTTAATGCAAACCTTTATCACGAAAAACTCGTGGTGCGAACGCAAACAAACTGAACCCTCAATACAGAGACTACGTCTCAACTAGTAACCAGAGCTTCAGGAGAATATAGAGAACCGCATGAACGTTGAATTATGCAAATAAATGGAAGCAGGACAGGTCGTAACTAGACCTCTCACAGACGTCACCAATGAATTGAGTCGAACTTCCGCAACAACCTTTTTGGTTTATTAACCTTTCAGCGCTTTGCTACGCAGCTAAGAAATGAGCTGATATTTCACCACACTGACAATTTCATGTACCATTCACGAAACGCTTGGACGCTCTTACTGAAATAAAACTGATGCGCATAATTAGCCACACTGCGCAGTTTAGATCTTCGAAGGATATCACGTTTTCAAGATCTAACGAAAACATTTCAAAAATGAAAAATCGAAGGGCCGCTCATGTAGTGAGAAGATTGAGCGACAGACGAGAAATGCAGTGAAATGGACTGCTAAGAATGTAAACGTCTTGTAGGACGACTACCCACAAAGCGGGCGGATGTCTTTCTGATTCGTCAGCCATGCGCAGACGTAAACAATCTATAGACTACAGAATGGTACCCAAAGACATCTCCATGCTTGAAACAGACCACCAACAAACGATAACGACGGAAAGACAAAAATGGTAAGTCTTTTGCTACCCGCAAAGGCACTCCGTCCAATAACCCAAATTACACATATACCATAATGCACGTATATGTACACATATATATACACGTACATATTTATATATACCTTTGACAAAACTGCAGCTTGATATTGTCATCAATAATGAGCACCACCCAGAAGTCGTATAACTGGTCTTTTCTTAACAACTCATCTCCATCACTTCCGTCACTTTTGCCTGGAAACGAGAAGCTTGAAAACGATCACTAACCAAGACAAGCACAAAACCTCGTGTTAAAAAGGTTAATTTTTATAATCTAAAAAACCCACTTCCACTGCTTGCCAAATGTCTTGTGTAGCGCTCAAATGCATGTATGTTCTCAACCTGAACAAATTTCTCCAGATTTCTTTCAATTTCTATTTACATTTGCGAACATTTTATCCACGAAGTCATGGTAAGTCTCCCATAAAAGAAAATATCTGTCCTCATGCAAATACTACATTACCATATATCCTATTTTCATAAGCTTCTTTTGCTAATGTGAGAAGAACCATTTAGGTTATTCTCGTCCGCGTTCCAATGACTACAACACCAAAGGCACAACTCGATTTCATCCTTGTGGGAATTTTCCATTGCGTCCTTGCAGAAATTGCCTTATTATTTTTACAGCTATGAAACAGCAGAAATGCCCGATTCAAAAAACCATTTACAAACGCCCAAAAACACGTCGAGGTACCAACGCTAGAAATAATTCCTGCAATGTCTTATCAAAGAACGATAGTGAAAAATGCCTTTAAAATTACTAACCCGGCAACAATAATAGATATTTGAGTCTTCCACTCGGTGCAAAACACAGTACTCCAAATGCATACCGTTCATCCGATCCTAGGACAGCCTTTATTAATATCTTTTTATTCAGATAAAATAAGGAGTGTCGACACTTCCTGAACGAATATTCTTTTGAAAATCGTCCTTAACCAAAAGTAGTGGCAAAGCTAGCGCACAAGCCATAATCCTGTTGCAAATTTACTTGTTAATCCCAGTCCCTACGATGCTTCATTACCTCATCGTGTATGAAGAGTGTTCCTCGATGTTGCACTGGATTCTACACTGGTAGTCATATGACGACAAATATTCAAGAATCTTCACAGCAAGGGATTTCGAAAATCCAAACAAGAGCAAACTGATAGCATGAAACACTGCCATCATCGCAGCAACCTGACTGCAAGCTGGTAAATCCTTCTTCGGTCTATAAGAAGCATTGACTGCCGATGGTGAGGGCTTACGAAGTCCTAGCTCGACATCTCAAGAACCCAGCAAGGGAAGACACCTCCTCTAACGAGAAAATTACCAACCAAATAGGAACTATGCTATAGTCCGCACGATTCATAAAGACGACTACTCAGGTATTAAAGTAAGAAAATAAATAAACTTTGCTGGACAAAAAATTACAATTTCCACTACTCCACTGCAGTGGTCCCGATAAAATATCACCAAAACACCACAATAAATACTAAGTAGTTGTTAAGCTTATTAGCAGCTTAAATTTACTATACTTAAATAACCAACCTTTAACCGATTCATGGCCTCTTGACATTGCATGACAAGCGGAAAGCGGCGGCAACGCGTCTCGACCTGGCCCGATTTCAACTGAACTTTTAAAGAGTATGATAGGATGCAGTGAAATCCATTAGCCAGAAAAAAAGGATAAACAAGTTGGAACATCTGGAACAATATGTAGGTGGATTAGAAGATAAAACCACGCTTTTCACTAGATTTTACATCGAAATTTGAGTGAAGTAATACCGAGGTGCTAGAAAAAATTACATAATGAATTGGAAGAAACACTTATTAAAACCAACCGCTTTCTCTCTTCCACACTCATGATCGATATAAGCAGAGATTTCCATAATCCTTTCCTTCGTAACGGGAACATTTCTGCTGTCCATCAAAACAGTTTCGAGCTCCATGAGACGATTAAGTCGATTCAGTAACTCATACACCACCGATCGCTCCTGGAAACCAATGTCAGAATAAAAAAAGCTGGAAGATATTTGGAAAAATTTTCCTCTTCAGGACCACTAGAAATTGTTGAAAAGCAAAGATTTACTGACAATGTTAACTTTCTATTTACTGCCTACCGCAATTTTTCACGGCAGGATGTAATGTGAAATACAACCACAATGATGCTGAGATATATGCAAAACCCCGGACCGCCTGCGGTGGAGATCGAAAATTCCATTAGCCCTTCTGGGGGCCAACGCGTTCACCACCGCACCATGTGGGTCCTTCGTTTCGCCTGTCTCTCAGCTAGTTCTATCGATCGGTACTATCAGCAATCACCCATCGACGGGATTGATCTGGGGAGTACAAGTCGGCATTGAACCCAGTTAAGCTGAGGTTGAAATTCACAATGTTGACTTTTTGTTTACTGAAATCGAAGGACTATCAGCCAGAGCGTTCCTGCTCGGTACATGAACACTGTTCATGAGCTATACAAAAATTTCACAACTAAAATATCACCATTCTATAACGATGTTAACACTGATATCAAAAGAGGGCCTTGCTGATGCGATACCATCTCGCTAGAATTATTCACTGCCAACCTCCAGAAATGTCATGCAAACATTAGAATGGAAGAACATAGGAGTGGAAATCGATGGCCTATAATTACACCACCTTCGCTTTGCTGATGACATCGCTCTTATAACGTCAAACATTAGCCAGGCGGAACGAATTCTTGCCGACTCTGATAAAAAATGTAGGAAATTGGTCTTCGACTAAACCTCACAAAAATAATGTTCATTAAGAAAGGAATGGTTTGATATGCCCCTCACGCTCAATGGTACGAATACCTTCGAACCTTCCAGCTACGTCTACCTAGGTTGGAAAATCAACATGATGAATGACATAGTTCCACAATTGGGCAGGAAGAAGCGAGCGGCTTGAGGAGCTTTAAAACGCACTGAAGATGTAATGAAGAGAATAAGGAGCACCCGACTCCGTGCCCATCTTTTCGGCTCCACGATTCTTCTTACTTTAACGTATAAGTCAGGAACCTAGTCTTAACTAGAAAGAATGAAAGATCACTCAGTGTTATAGAATGTGCGGTCGAAAAGACGATTGTAGGAGTATCCCGTATCAAGCAAGTGAGAGAAGGGGTCCGAAGTTCCGACCTACATCAACAATCAAAAATCAAAGGCGGCCTTCTGTACACCAAACTGTCGAAAACGAAAATAAATATGCCTGTCAAATAATGTGTATGAACAACCGATGGTCGACAGCTGTTAGTAACTGGATTCCTCTGGAGGTCAGATGTGCTGCAGGAAAATCACCGATCCCATGGTCAGAGTTCTTCATGGAAATCCTTAAAGAATTAAATGATGCTGAACAAGACCCTAAAGAAGAAAGAGTTCACCGGACTACGGTAGACAAGGAGAAATGGGAGATTCACTGGAGACCACTTGAGCCACTCGACGATTAACGTGATGACAGATGATGCCTTCACAAATCATTTTATTGGCCAAATATGCACTCAATCACCTCTAAGATGCTATGAATGGAGTCGCATTCATGGCGGACCACTAAGGATTCCATCAACGTCGAACGATTTAAACTCCCAATCAATTCAGACGCATTTAAACATGCACACTCAGAGTTATCACCCTAAGATATTATAATAAGATTTGAAAACACACCTTTTTCGGCATTTTTTCCAAAAATCGTAAATGTTTGTTTGAATGCGTGTCGTCATCGGATTCTGTGTCAATATCTTCATGCATATTTTCACCTTTATCACTTGGCCACGTTACCACATATAAATACAATCGTACCACAACACTTGCTATATCTGTAAATCAGACTCAAATGAATACTAAATTTTGAAACAAGAAACATTTTGCTCTTAGTTGAGTTTTCTGTATAAATCTCAGAAAGTAAGTCAGAAAAACACTGTTGATCTAAATCATGGAAAAAAACGTTCTCAGTAAGGTATAAACAAGTATTGGATTCCAATATTTCCAATTTCTCCCAACATTACCGCCTCATCGTGACTAGGACGTGTTGCTGGGTGCCGGGCTCCGATTTACAACGGGAGGTTCATCACCTCAAGAAGGCCTGCAAAGCTGAGAAGGAGTTCAATGTTTCCACCTGGAAACCTAGCTAGGAATAAGGAACCACCACCGTCCTAATATCGAATTAGTCACACGGTGGCAAATCTCTCCCTAATCCACAAGGACGGCGACTGCCTGGGGTAGTGACAACCTGGTGAAGGCTTCGCGTAGGTTTCCCGGGACTGCTGAGAACCACAGTAGCTAAACCAGCAAATCTCCAGAGAATGGTAATTATGTTGGGGCCCACATAATCAGTCAAAAAGAGCCATTCAAATATTCAGGTGGTAAGTACGTAAATATAAGCAGGTACAAGTAAGGAATAAAATGTCACAAATTCATTCATACCTGTGTCTTTAAACGAGCAAAGTTAAAATGTAGAAGACTAATTAACAATGTTTAATTTTGACATGTTTAAGATTTAAATACCAAACAAGCTTAACCACCTTACCAAAGGCTTCATGTGGTTTCTGGGCACTTTCTCGTAGCACTTCGTACACACAGGTGGGCAGGAACGTTACCGGGAACGTGTCCATTGATTTGTTCGGATATTCAACTGAGCACATAAAATAGATGAACAATGGATAACGACCATACTGCGTTATCTGAAAACTCGGAAAATATTTATAACATACGACGGCCACTACTAAATGAACACATGTCAACTTTCAATGACGTCAGCAGTTATCCTCCCCTCCATTTCCAACGAACCAAGTGCAGCCATAAAATACTGCTTGAAAAGTGGCGGTCTAGAGATATGGGTAGCAGTGATTGAAATACCGCCGAAGACTCCAAGGCGCCGGCAAGTTCGCAACCATTTGTATGAACGTCTATGCACAGCACAAAAGTGCACAACTTCTCCTAACGTAGAGAAGTAGAAGAGGTAGAGAAGGTGACTGCTGATTTCTCGCACAGAGTACGAAGGCGAATATATTGTGAAAGCAGGTCTACAGGTCACTAAGTAGACGTACAGAAGAACACCTTGACAGTAAGTGTACAGATAAACAAAATACTCCATTAGGCACACATAGGACACAGAGACATGACAGGGAAGATCTTGAACGTGAAAGCCAACATCCTCGCACAGGAATCTAAAACATCAACCCCTAAAGCACTCCACGCTTACAGGATAAATTCCATGAATCAAAGATAAACTGAGGAAAGCAATTCACCGTTATAACGCGTGATCTCACACAATGTCTCACACTGATTTCTTAACGTGAGGGAGACACATTGCCCATCCATGTGAACTCTGTGGTTATTTCCACGTGGAAGACTTCGTATAAGACTTATAGAAAACGGTAATTGTGTGAAGAAGCTGTTTTGTTTCCAATTCAATTGCAGTTTAAGAGTCGCAGTCTTTATGTTGATATTGTGGAGGTATTTGGTTCACTAGGTAGCAGTTAACTTCATCTTTCCAGGCTTCGAAGAAGACGAAATCAGTCGGAACGCCAGTTACTACTAAAAAATAATGTAACAACAAACTTTTGTCTGCTTGTCAAGAAAACAGCGAATTACTGCTGTGAACAGAAAAACCTGGCTGTACAAAGACATAGAGTTGCTTTTCTAATTTTCGAGATGGGTCGAGATAAATACGCTTCATCTTAGTTCTTTCAACATGTGTTGGTAGTTTAGCAGTTTTTAGCCTTTTTCAATTACCTTTCGTACCTAGTTAACTTTCTTATAATTTGCGTAGAAGGCACTTTTTATTTTCCGCCGTCATGGTAGGGCATGATGTGAAATACAAGTACAACGATGCTGAGACATTTAGCACATGCGTGCCTGCCAATTTTTTATATTCTCGAACATTTTTTTATAACTACAGCTTTTTAGCAATTTAGAACTTGACAACCACATGAAAGAGACTGAATTCAATTACTACATCGTCATCGAGCTGTTGATTGTCGTACCACCTGACTAATGACACGGTTCACTAGCCTGAAGTCGCAAGACAGTGGACTTTCCTCCGATCCACAAAGATCAAAGAATAGGTGTGGTGAAAACACTACACTGGTCTACATGGTTCAGTCGAAGTTCGAGGAAAGAACACATTCACAATACCAATATCTCTACATCTTCAACACGTCAGTGAGGAGACCATAAAAATGATACAGCTCTTGGCGTTGATCAAACCCTGAGGGATGCGTTACGCATCCGACTTCATCAATCATCGTTTGGAGCTGATTCAATGCATATCTGGCCTTTGCAATGCCTCGCGGTGGCCTATCGACGTATCGACCTAGTGCCTATCCTCCCAGACAAGTCTGGTACCAATTTGGCGACCCGGAGGAACGGAGGGCTTGGTGGGGCGATGGGCGCGGGGATCGACTCCACGTTTGCGTTGCAGGACACCTCCGACCACTGCGCCACACGCGCCCTGCGAAAACGATAGACCCTTGAAATGCAACCAGTCCCAGATCAACGAATGGGAGAATGCGAAAATTTGGTTAGCAAAAACCTGTGAATTCAAACAGTTCTTATTAGAACTATGCAATTAAATGGAAACGTTTATTAACGAACGTTTTAAATTCCACTACAAAAGAGCAGGCCTTCGAAACAAAAAAGAATTTGCCGATTTTTTGGAAGACCTTTAAAAACGATGGCAAAACCAAGCCTCCATAACCCGAAATGATGCATCTGCATCAAATTTTTCATCTTATGTATTTTCAGTTTTCACAACAAAGCTGTCATTCGTAATTTATTTATATATTTTTATCCTTTCTTCAACAAAGACCGCATAGAGGTCGATATAATCGTAATCGCAGTATACGCCTAGCGCTACTGATCCCATCTATATTCGAAAAAAAACCAGTAGGAGTCGTCAAATTGACTGAAGTGGTGGAAAGTGGATTAACACAAAGCAAAACCACACACTATCACTACAGCTGAAAGCATGATCTCCATCGTCAATTAGTACAGAGAAGAAGTGAAGCGGAATTAGAAAGATTTTTTCAAGAAACATAGCGAAGTGGACTTACTAGATAACCATATTTCTCGCTGAGAGTGAAAGACATAAATCCCGTACACTGAACCTAAAAACTAAAATGCTCGTTTTAATTCAAGAGCTCGACGGAATGGCAAATAAAGACGTGCACTCAGCGACTGGACCGATACGTTGCTATGGCACACCTCGAAAACCAGAACCAAACTCCTTTTAAAAATTACTTATAGACGTCGTTGTAAAAGAACCAAGAACATCCAATGACAGCAGAAAAACGGCTTGGATGGTGAATCGAGGAACCGATTAAACGCCTTACGAACTCTAAGACGGCGGTATGATGGAGCTATTGAGCTTATGAAGTTGCTCGCCCATGATAACAACATTCTGGATATCCAACTTCTCATTATGCACATACCGTTTTTGCCTGTTTCTCATCTCCACTTCTCGGCTTCTCGCTGTCATTCAGTACATATCGTGGACGTGATTGATCCACTAGTCGATCTAACTTTCGCAGCGATACTGGTGCTGACACTCTATCATCTTGCACGTGGTCGTCACCTGAATTTTCTTTGAAACATTTATGTTTTAGCTTTTCGAGAGTTTAGCCCCACTTTAGTATTAAATTAGGTTATTCTACGTGACAATTTTCCCAAATTAACTATTAGTGCAATCTGTTTCATTATTTACTTTATCCTTCATTGTCTTGATATTCAATCCTACCCTTCGTTGAAAATGTTTTAAAAAACTCATTACGGTATATATGAGAATACATAAAGCGTCTACGTACATGGTCTGATGACCGAGTACGCGAAAGTGATCTCGCAGTTGAAAAACTATTAATTCTTAATTCGAAACAATCACTAAGTGCGAGAAAATCTATTCACAAAAACGTTAAGCTTCCAGAAAACATTTACATTTTTTAAATCGTTACATCAAGATTTTACTGATGTAGAACATACTATTCCTCCGCTCCAGCAAGGTACTGTCCAAACCACGCGGCTGGTGATCGTTGAATAAACCTTCGAAATACGCCAGTACTGATTTTCCGGGAAATCTTGAATCGCTTTCCTTGCTACAAAAAAAAGAGCACTATTAAAAAATTACCAGGTACAATGTGCAACATCACCCCGTCAAGATCACTCAACCTAAGAAACTGTTCGATGTCTACACCCAAGCATCTGGCAGAGAGTAAACATATGCTATAAATCAACTGCATGCTGGAGGAAAACCACAGAGACTGCTTGTTGTGGCTAGCTAAGATTATTCGAAGTGATTTCTTGAGATTTAAAAAAAAGAAAACTTTCCAACCAGCAATATATGGGTAAAATACTCACTGTGCTAAGATTCATGAAGAAGAGGCGTTCAAGCATCGCTCTTCAAGAATCACGTTTATGAAAGCACATTTATAAAGAAATATTCAGGTCCTCAAATCGTGAGGGACTCAAAATTGAAAGGCAACCCTCGCTCGCTTCACTTTCCTCTTTCTTTATTTCCTAACTATGTAAGTTACTGTATTATTCAACTACTCAGTGGTGATAGTGTTCCATAGAGCGCTAAGAAGTGTCAGATCACATGTATAAACAGAAGACTTCACGAATAAGAAATATAAATGCATCTTTCTTGAAATAGAACGGTCTTCGAAAAATAACGTCTAAATAAACAGAAAGAAACTAAATATAAAAAAGGTCCATCAATAAGCAGTACTATGCACTAACTATACTTACGACGCGTGTGGCGCAGTGGTCGGAGGTGACCTGCACCACACACGTGGAGTTGATCCCTGCGCCCATGGCCCACCAAGGGTTCCATCCTTCCGGAGTCGGTAAACTGGTACCAGACTTGTACGGGAGGATAGCAGCACTGGCTCGACACATCGGTAAGCCACCGCGAGTCATTGTAAAAGCCAGGTATGCATTTAATCACCTCCAACGATGCTTAATGAAGTCGAACACATGGAGCATCGCTCAAGGATTGATCGACGCCGAGAGTTTTATCCTTTTTGTCCTTTTATTCACTAACTCGCAACATCAAATCAGGTTTGTAATAGCTACCACACTTCATACGTACATCACAATGGTTGAAACAAAACTCACTGCGGTGGAGTATAGAAAAAGTACGGCATCCCAGGTACTTGTTTGAAAGTGCCTCGTAGAATATTCGCAAACTTTAACTGAACTTTACTCTCTCCACAGTACGACGGCTGTGATTGGTTATTTCTCTGAAAAGAATACTTCGTCGTTTAATTCTCAACTTTTCCACGGACTTCGCACGAAAACGAAATTCGTTCTGAGCAATGAAAAATGTAAAGTGGAAACAAAGAAGATAATAATCACTACGTTCAAGCAGACCTATACGTTCTTATACGTTTCATTGAACCCATACGAACTGCACTTAACCGTTTTTATATCTCATCAGAATATCTTTCTGTCTACCAGATGGCGAAGGCCACGAAACTTTAGCCGAATAAACGTTTTTATGCCAACCTCTAGTCAGCACAACCATGTGGAAAAATATCGTTTTTATATTTCCCTAGTAGATATTCGATCTCTCTCGCTGTTCCCGAACTCGGTTGAGTAATCGCTGCCATCCTGTAATGAGTGACCCTAGGCGCACAATGGGGCAAGCTTTCCTCTGATATACAAAAGTAGAAAATCATCAAATCTGGTGAAGACCTAGGAAAGCAACAGTTATCTCAGGACTCCTGTGAAAACTAAGCCAGATAGGGTTTATAAACGTCAATAAGAAGGAAAGGAAACAAATCTTCAAGACAGAGGAAACCACGTACGAACCCGACCACAGCCTTCACAACGATCGCAAAACAAACTAAAGAATTGCTTAGGACGTTGAAGTATGTTAGGATATCGTTACTTTTTACTTACTGCCCACTCTTTCTTAATGGCTAGGTATTATGAGAAATATAACCATAATGATACTGAGATATTTGCAAGACTCCGGACTGTTGGTGTCTTGGGTGTGGAACGAACGCGCTATTAACCTTTCCGGGAGCTAACGGGTTCACCATCACACCATGCAACTACTTCGTTTCGCCTTTCTCTCCGTCGTGCTACGGTTATGTGTTAGGATGGTTCGTCTAATTAAAACTAAGCAGACAATGCTAACTCCTTACTTGCTGCCTAGTACAACTTTTCAAGGCATAGTACGATGCGAAGTACAACCACAATGTTGCTGAGATATACAATGTTGCTGAATATGTATAGGTGGGGAACGAACGCACTATCGTCCTTTCCGGTGGCTAACGTGTTCACCGCCACACCATGCGAGTCCTTCGTTTCACCTGTCTCTCAGCTAGCTCTGTTGATCAGTGCCATTAGCAATAACCCGTCAACGGGATTGATCTAGGGAGCCCAAATCCGAACTATGCAGATAATTTATGAGCTAAATACTACGTTACACTAGTTCGAAAAGAAAAGCTGATAAAAGCTACCTTACATATATTGCCATTCCCTTCTGTGCATCCATCTTTCAGAAGCTATAAAATGATCGCGTTGTGAAGAAGAGGAGTAACGTACTTCCACAGGCGTTCGATAGAGGTGTCAATCGCTTTTATGAACTACTAATGGTTGGAAGACGTTAGAATCCGCAACAGCGTAGTCGTTTTCCCACCGTTTTGGCATATTATAATGCGCGAGATCTATCCCAGCTATCTCAGGGTAGCAGGGAAAATCGACTCGACTAGCATTCAACGATTTTCATGACGAAAGGAAAATCCTCAAGCAGCAGTCGGGGCCACACGTAAAGGTTGGCAGAGCTTCGTGGATGACGGATGCGTGGAAACAAGTTGACTTCAAGAAGTGCTGGGATCCATACAGTATGCATGAGAGACAACTCGTGTAAAACGGAACAAAACACAATGGCATGAGTGTAATGCAACGTTTTCTAATGATGACCTTCACAAAAAAGGACGTCTGATTCTTAGTTGAACTTACATCCGCATTCATATGTGAGCAGAATGTACTGAGACTCATCGCCACACCATCCACCTCAAGACTTGTACATTCGCATTGTTCATCAAGCACATTTCGCACGATGGCATGGTCAATATTAGCGCCTGAACATTAATACAGTAGTATACTAATAGAAGAAGCAATAAAACATGGAGAAGAAAAGTGCTGCCCAAGAATAGTTTAATTCTACCTACTACATAGAAGATTAATTTAAAAACTGCCAACAGCAGTGTTTTATGAACAATGGAAGATCCAGTTGTTGAAAATCTCGAACAAGAACTAAACAAAATTAAGCATTACTAAAAGCAAAAGTGCTATAGTCATCTTGTTACGAAAGCCTAAAAATCCAAAACCGAGTAAACCTAAAAGAAAGGAAGGAGAAGACGCATTATATCGTAATTATAGCACTACAGCACGAGAAATGTTACTCGAAATATTTCTTCGACACTATCGATATATTCTATGTATTCTTAATTTTAAATCGCGGGTTGTCGTCAAGGAGCTTAAGCCAATTAATAACAAGGCTACGTAGTGCGACTCTAAGTGTAGCATAGGGGCTAAAACGGACAAAGACAACCGCGAGTGGAAAATGCAGTTGCATTCAAAAAATGGACTTCCTTTCTGTTCGGCTGGATCGACTTTACCTTCCAGAAAAGTTTTACGCATACAACACTGAGTATGTTTATGTGAGCGCAGGTGCGTCTGCCCATCGATTCGCACAATAATTTACAATCAAACCAATGAGAAATACTGGGTGATGGTTCGAGCTCACTTCAAACAAGTATCCTCTATTGTCTATTCCAGACCGGCTTAAACACTTGCCCAGTATGTATATCCAACCTATTTTGTAGGGTCTTGAGAGCTAGTTGGTGGCTAAAAACAACGGAAGTAAAGGCCTTCATTTGAAGACATTCTTCACATTCATCTACTGAATAGAACACTGGGGAGTTTTAGCAAGAAGCAAGGATGAGTAGAGACTTTATTGGTGCATGCTGGAATTCATTCAATGCATAAAGGGAAAGTAGTAAAACGATAAACAGATAAAGAGTTCGGAATGGAATTAATCAATCCTTTAGGGATTCAACATGAATACGTCGCAGTCGTGGTTTCGCAGGAGTGAATAAAGGCATGCATGGAGCATAAAGTGACTTGTGGAGCCTAACGATGTATAAAATCATCGCTTTTATAACAGTCCCAGACAAGCCTGGTACCGATCCTGGAGAGATGAAAAGCTTTATTTGTCTATGGTGCTGAATCCAATCAATGGCCCTATTTATTATAAGGGTCTTCTAACTACTACACTAAACACCCATTAAAAGCGGTATAGACGGTTACTCCAGAGATGGTTTGAAATGCGGACAGCCGAAAAAACAAAACACCTAATAAGTTTTAATAAACACTACTATCTCTGAATAAGTGGCTTCGAGACCATGTTTCACCTTCACTGTAATAGAATACATCTGAAACACGTCTAAATGCAAAATTTCGTTAATATTTCATTCAGAACTCACCCCTCTGAACTGCTGCATACAATGTAGAGACGATCGCTTTAGTGACGACCTTCTGTAACGAAGAAAATTGCCGTTCTATTAGAATACTTTAATTATAAAGCATTCCACGGTTACTGGCCCTAATTTAGCATTCTGCAAAATAACTAAAGTACGAAAACACTGCCATCCTAAATTATATGTGAATAAGAATCTAGAGAATTATAGAAAGATAAAGACATAAAGAAATGGGATTTGAAGCAAGAGGAATATTTTTTGCCTTTTACCTCATCGACATCATTAATGGTTTGCCCCAGTGAACCCGGTTTGTAGTTCTCTCGTAATACATCAAGGCATCGACTCGATGATATCCATTCTTTGGGAGGAATTTCTGGAACACGCAGTGTTGGGAAGCTCCAAGAAAATAGTTTAGCATCATCGTTCGAAAAAGCCGCGAATAGAGGATTTCAGGATTTCATAAGTTTTGTTAGACTCCCAATATCGCACTCATCCTTCAATATTTGCCACAAATGATTCAAGCTTAAATGTCAATCTCAGCGCGCAGTTTAAAACACGGTGTGCAAAAAACAGAGTTCATATTTAAAACCTGTAAACGTCATTACAGCGAACAACAAATTCGTATATAAAAAATAATTCTGTAATTCCCCAATACGCAGACATTTCTGTTCATATCACATCTACTACCATCGCCAATAATGCGATTATCAAAAGACAAGCTATTGTCAATTGCACACCAGGAGGCCATGGTGACTATGGTAATCGCGCTAAATGCTTTTCATAGGCATTTCGTTAAATCCCTCCATATTAATTGCCATTTGGAGAAAAGAGCATATACATATTAATTAATACTACCAGTTCGTTGAAAACACCATTCTGTATTATTTTATACGATGTGACATGACATATCATACAGATTCCAGCTCCTTTTGCATCTAATTCATTTCATCTCAAACATCTTCCACGACAGAACATTTCACATATAGGTTCGGCTGCTGCTTGAGGATTTTCGTCTTGCTTATAAATGTCCTTGAATGATGGTTGGGTCCAAACTCTCCGGAGTCATAAGATATCCGGTTTGTTGCACCACCATATCCTTCGCCGCCAGCTTCTAGTTGACTTCGGAACCGATCTGATCCCAGACAAGTCTGGTACTAACTCTATCGATCCTGAATGGATGGGAAGCTCGTTGGCCCAGTTCAGGATCGAACCTGCGCATGCCGCATACTAAACGGCACCGCTACAACTATGCTACCTTGTAGCGATCAAATTACACCACATATGAGGTTGTTATTTCACCCGCGTACGCATTTATAGTATTCTTGCACTGCTATTGAGTTTCTGACATAGGTTTTAGAATCCGCGCTTACGACTGACCGATAGGCGGTACGTCTTCATGGCAACTACTTAATGGCGATGGTAAAAATCGTCTATCCAGAACCCGTTCCGATGGTGGTGTTTTGCGTTTTGCTAGATTCCATGCCAACAATGGTTCGTCACACAAACTGAATAGCAGTGGCACGGCGTCTGTAACAAAGAAAAGAAATGTTTCCTCACGCCATACTGTTATTATTACTATTGACCGTCTACCGTTATTTCTAAACTAGGGTGGAGTATAGAGACCGCGAAATCTGGTTCCAGATTACTTACAACACAATATATTATCGTAGAAATACAGTTGAGAACAGATCTTGCAAAACATTTTCTCTCTTTATCTTTTACGACAGTGTGCCGAACTTTTCCAGATCTTCAAAATTCTCCATTTATGTTGTAGTGTTAAGAACTTGTTAACCAACATTTCACCAGTTCTTTAGAATTAACTATTCAATTCTGAAGTAGTGGAATGGATTTACAACAACGGAATAGAGAATTAAACCTAAAAGACTTTTAAAAAAATAAACAAAAAAGTAATCCAACCGAGTTTATCAATACTGCTTACAGTTGTTGGAACAACGACAACACTTAACACCCATGGCGTAACTTCTCGCATATAGACACGACATACCATTCCAGGCACTAAATTGAAGAATCATGAATTAAGAAAAACAACTAATATCTGTATAATTAGCGACGATGACCGGTGTTCTCTAAAACCTTCACCTTTTCTTTGATATCAAACCTTATACCACTAATCTCAATGAGAGTGATTCCGACCTGGTTAGCCCTAAGGCTTCGTGGAGTATTCCAGGTAACAAAGGATCAATTCTCACCAAAAATATTTGCTTCAACCACATATTTACACCATTCGGCAATTGAATGGAATCGGCTACGAAGCACAAAAATACCCAGTTTACCTGGCAAGCCTCTCACCGACAAAGCTGTTATTACGGTTTGGAAACATCTTAGCAACTAAGTGGAAATTTTAACTGTTTTATTTACTACCTACTCTTTTTAATGGCAGGATATATTGCAAAATATAACTTTGATGATGCTGAGATATTGGCAAAACACCGGACCGCAGATGTTTGCGGTGGGGAACGAACGCGCTATTGTCCTTTCCGGGGAGTAAAGCATTCACCACCACACCATGCGGGTCCTTCGTTTCACCGGTCTCTCAGCTAGCCCTATCGATCTTTTCCCATCAACAATCACCAGTCAGCGGGAATGATCTGGGAAGCCTAAATCGGCAATGAACTCAGTTAAGCTGAGGCTATAGTTAAAAGGACCCGCATGGTGCGGTGGTGAACGCGTTACTCCCCGGAAAGGACAATAGCGCGTTCGTTCCCCACCGCAGACACCTGCGGTCCGGAGGTTTGCCAATATCTCAGCATCATTTAAATGGAAATTCTCAGTAATAATCCTATTGCCCTAAGTGCGTTAAAGAAATCATTCTGCTCCAGCAGTCCAAAACAGCGTGTTAACGGAGTAAACCGACTTGTTTCTAGTTTGAAAAAAAACCTATTGTAGATTCGAATGGTACTTATTGTTCCTTTATAACTTGTTACAGATGACGGTAAATTTGGTGGATAAAAACTGAAAATATTTGTTTGCAATTAACGCCATTCAAATTAGAAGATATACCGGAAAGAGAAAGGAAATAAAAGTATTTTTCTACGGAAACATACGCTGAGTATCATAATTATGATTCAGCCTCAGTAACGGTGCAACCTGCACCCAGAACGATTCGTCTTCGACGGCAAAGCAGGTGTCGAAATACAACGACAACTCCTCGTGTATGGCAGACAAGAAAAGATCGAGCGCTATAAATAGAAGCGTCATTCCCCTCTGTTGTTGCTGATAGAAAAGAAAAAATAAACAAAAATTTCTTGTAGCGAAATGCACGAATAATCATACTTACCGATGAGTGGTTAACAATGCAGAACAGACCCAGATATATCTAAAAGTGCGAAATCCTAGCGGTCCACCAAAAACATGGCAAACAGTTTCCGCAAATGTAGAGAATAATTCTCTTTGGCCGAAGATAATAAAAAAGAATATTTGGGTTTTCGACTAAAAAACCCCAACTGATCTTTCTTTGAAAAAACTTTTTCCTAAGTGAATTTATTACTAAAAGACACACGGTCCCTTTCTGCTCTCGTTCGTTCCCTTATGAACAACGCAAACTAGTGCCGATCGTCACGGTTTCGATTGAAAATTCGGCCATAATGCGATGACGATTACATGCCATATAACAATACATGGCGCACACGAGAACATGGGAACGAATACAATATACAACTTATCCATTATTCATGGCACTACCAAAAGCTGGCGAACAGCTAAACGGCACAATGTTTCCCACTCATTTTCCCAGCTACCGTATATCAAACTTTAATGCTGCACGTACAAAACATAAAAAACTTATAACAAATCGATCTCATCATGACTCTCACTGAGCCAAAATTCCCAACTATGGATCATTTTTCGGATTCATTTCAAGAACGCCACTTTTGTCCCTAATTCCCTAAAAGTGACACACGTAATGTATGTGGACAATTCTGATAGGAATTTCACCCATTAAGTCTTCCTTCATTTCTGAAAACCTTATAACTAAGCAAGATATTTCACAGTTGTAGCTTCTATGTATTTATTGAACCACTTTCCCGTACTGAATAGCAAAACAATGAGGAATTCGTTTAAATTGGAAGGTTACTGGCTTTGTTTAGACTGCGACATACTGTTTGTACATTTGCAGATGTATAAATATCATCTTTAAATAAACGCTCTGGCTACGGATCGCTAAATAGCACAGGCAGCATCGCACCCACAGCATCCCGGCGATATTACAAAAGTGATATTTACTTGTTTAATGTCAGTGTATAAGTCACGGCAGCTTCGAAGTCGACGAGAAAGAATGACTAGACAGACAATTGTACCTACTTGCATACTCAGAAACTGTTAACACAGTAGAAGAAAACCAATAATCAATCCGTACAGTCACATCGTTTCTATTGTTCATCAAACCGTTTCATAAAATCGAACATACATGGAGTGTATTGTAATTAAATGGCAATATGTTTAAAAAGAGGTCAATCAATTTCGAAAGCGATACGCATTGGATTCCATCCATGGAATTCTGTAAGTGAATTGAATGCATATTTGACCTGAGCTATAACTTAAGGGGACTAACTGATGTAACGAGCCTGTGTCTTTACCGTTCCAAACAAATCCACCACGAATTCGTCGACCTTCGAATAACGGTATAATCAGTTCACTTCAAGTGATCCTTAATTCTTAAGTGAAGCTTTTATCATTATATTTCAATACGCCATTCACATCCCTCGTGTCAAAACGGGCGAATTCCATAACATTCAAAACTGCTGTAGTGCCTGTTTATCCATAGTAGACTGAAATACAGATGAGCTAGGATTTCCTCATCACTTGAACGATGAGATCGATCTATTCCCGTCTTGTAAACACAAATAGCACATCTTCGCTACTAACAAAATGAGTTTATAGTTAACTGACTGGCAACGCAGTTTCTTGTTTGTCCAAAGTATACCATAGAACTCTATTAGTTCATATTTTTACAGAAATATTCTAGACACCAATTCTAAGAAAATACAAACAGATTCCGTGCTAATGGAAAATCACATACGATTTGGAAGTATAAAAATAGACATAAAAAAGAACGTGAAAAAAATTTTTTCATTCAATTTCTATATCAATGAAGAATGTTAGGAGTAGCTTTAACACAATGAATATAGAAATTAAATTACATGAGAAGTTGTGCTTTCAACCGATTTTTTCGTTGCCTCTAATTGCTGAAAGGCACTATTATGTATCAAACTGTGTGACATATATCGGTATGTTCAACCAGCTGTCAACCACGATCACTGAGGATAAAAAGTAGTTCAACACTGCTACCCATAAATTCAGCTAGAAATAAACCAATGCCAAGAGCCGTTGCCATCCCGGGAGCAACTTAGTTGCAAGGTAAAAAAGCTCCCTCCTATCCAGCCGGTTCACGACTGCATGTAGTGACAGCAAAGGAAGAAGTTAATACAGGTTTCTTATGGTCGTGAAAAACTCTTAGTCAAAACAATAACTTATCAATTAATTGGAAAATAGGCTTGAAGACGTTAAGTACTGAATGATGCCTTTTGAAGACAGCCTATTACAATATTAAGAAAGCCAAATGAAATCGCAATTGAAATATGTCACAACCATTCAGTGATCAACAAATTATCAATCTTTCGACAACAAGAGCTGTCCCTCATTGGATTCGAACATTTAATACGAAGGTCCTCCTACAGTATACTGCAAAACTATGCCATAAATATTCCAAGTCATTCACTTCATCCCATAAGTTGACAAAAAAACTTGCAGAAGAAAAAACCCTTCCTTACACTGCGCAGTGAAAACTTTTAATACATAGGCAATGTTAAAAGAGTGTATAGAAAACCCCTGTTTATTTGGAGAACAATCCAGCTACATCTCTGCAATTACGTGGTCATTCTGAACATTATTTCCACTTGACTTCGTTTATTATTTCAAAGAATAAAAAGCCAAGAGGACGCCGATTCCTGCACAATTCCTGAATGGATGATGTTATCGCACAATTTAAGATGTCCACCAAAGATAAGCGACTATTATAGTTCTTTGGAATAATGCAGAAACTTGAGAAAAGTGGTAAACATATCTGACGACTAAAAATAAGTATAGAATAGAACTACTTAAAAAATGGTGGATAAAAGCACAACATGAAGTTTTTTAACTCAACAAAAGATTCTCCATTCCCTTCTGTCTAGCAATCTTTCCGTTAACTTCAATCGGTACTTTTACAAATAAAACTGCGACCAGTAAAGAAGTGATAACGAAGGGAAAGACATTTAGGGACAAAGCACTTATTCCAAACTTAAAAACACAGCACTCATGATTTGGACATTACGGTCAAATTTTGATCACATTATTTCGCCAAACCTCCCAACGGTTTACTGCCTCATCGTGGCTGGGAAGTGTACCTGGTTGTCGGCCTGCGATGGACAGCGGGGAGATTCGTCCCCGGCAGGGTCTCCCAAGCTAAGGAGTCCAGTGTTCCAATCAGGAAACCTAGCTTAGAGTAAACCAATACTAGGATCCACTACCGTCTTGGTATCAAAGTCGCATGGTGGCAAATCTCCCTCTGATCCACAAGGGCTGCGATTTCCTGCTGCGGTGACGACCTGGGGCAGACTATGGTCAGGTTGTCCTCGGGATTCCATGGAACCACAATGGCTTAACCAGCAAATCTCCGAAAAATGGTGATTATGCTCGGAATCGCACCAGTGAGGACGGGCCGTTCAAGTATCAAGTATCAAGTGTCTCGCCAATGCTAAAATGTAACCCATTTCATTTTAAAACCCTCCTAATTCATTTTCTAAATGAAGGTACTGCCATCGTTACTCAGTACTAAATCTTATAAGTTCTAACCTCCGAATGATAGATTATACAAACTACCAACTTAATTTGAAAGCAGAAAAAGAACAACAAAGAGAATAACTGGTTGCAGTCTTTTTTTTGCTCATGTAAACTGCTGGGTTTCTCTATTTAAGCCTCACCGTTCTCAACCGCTGGCAGCATGACGAGGCATCGTTCCGATCGAAGCACTAACTTTGGCAAATCGAACGGTTGGTGTACTACGCTTACACAACCAGACACCGTTCTTGTTACATGTGGTGAGTCCAGCGTTCGAGACGAAACCTTTAATTGAAATCTTCCAGAGACAGATTCAATTCAAGCACTCGTTTCTAAAACAGATTTCTTCAACTGTTTCAGTGGCATGAAATTTCTGTGTTACAGACCTTTTTTTTCATAAATCTGAAACGCTATGGCTTTTCACCAACGCAAGCATCTCTTCACAAATCGTAATCCTAAAACCTTTCAATCCTTTTACAATTAAATCACGAAAAAAGAACTTCCTAGTTAGGTCAATTTTGATGTATAATGCCTAGAGTTAAGCGGAAAGACAGCACAATTGTAATGGTGCAGGTTATCATGAGAACGGTGCTGCTTCTCATTTCAGGCTCACCAAGCCTCTCATCCTTCTGCTCGGGAGAAACTGGGCTTGCCCGGATAAAATCACTCTGTGCAACCCAACTGGGGATGCTCCAAACCGGCTATCTCAAAACCCCAGGTAGTCGACTCGACCAGCATTCTGCGACATTCAAGATGAAATGAAAATCCTCAAGCAGCAGCCAAAGTCACACGTAAAGTTGGGAGATTTCGTGAACAGTGGATGCGAGGAAACGAACTGAATGTGGGAAGCGATGGAAACCGCATAGTAGATGTGAATACGGGTCTTATAAAACAAAAAAAAACAAAATGCCTACAGTTCAATATCAGTACCGATTTCGCTTGTTTTAGTAGGAAAAATACTATTACTTTCTATTTATTACTACCCTCTATTTCTTCTACATTTACTTTATTGAATTACTTCGATTATGAGCTCTGCTCTGCCCTGCTAGGTTCTTCGAATCTAGAATTGAACGTTTTATCGCAGTGTTGTCCACTGCGGCAGTGCAACGAAGGAAAATGGGATTCATAACACCTTTTTTCAGTTTTATTTTATCAGCTATTTCACAAATTCCTCTACGTATATTTTTTCTTTATCGAAACTTTGAAGCTGACTGACAACAACCAAACAAGGTGATGTGATCTTTGTGACTACAGAAAAGTATGAAACTGGAAAATATTGAACAGGATACGTAATACACCAACGACTGCAAAAACTAGCCGGCCAATAACTTTTTTCAGGGGATTACTGTTTGGCATACATATGGTAAACAAAAAAAAAACCA